TACATGTGTGGCTATTTACTTGGTACTGATTGGCCAATGTAGCCATATCGATATTTTTTCAAAAGGATATTGCGATTCAAGGTCGTTTATTCATCACTCCATTACGGTTATGCTTTCATTCCAATATTTTTGGATTCGTGAATTTGGTGAGTTGTAGCGCAAGCTTGATAAGTTTTGAACACATATTTGCTGATGGAATACTGTCTGTGGGTTTAGTTTGTGATTCGGCTCAAAGATGTGACTGCAGTCAGTAAAAAACAAGGACCCCTTCAAGGCTCAATTCATCTAGCTACCACTGATGGAACAGTAAGTGGGGTTGTCAATTGCTGATTTTCAGGTGACACTAATGCTTGAATTGTTAGTTTAATTTGAAAACATATGGCAAGTGCGATCGAGCATTCAATAATATTTTGGCGGCTTGGAACAACACAAAGTCTTGCACACCAATCTCGGCACAAAACCTGTACGTTCAAATCATGTCTAACCTTCGTGGCCAATCAGATCGCGAAAAGGAGCTATCGAGAGATACAAACAAAAAAGGTATACTGGAAGCTAGCCAAGGAAGTTCCGCAACGGATTTCAAAGGGACTGAGCCTGATGTTGACTCTAGTTTGTGAGTATGAATACTGAATATGTGATGGATACTGTTTAAAATTCTAATCATGTCGCTTGTCTACCAGATTGGAATATGCTCTTCCAGAGTGTGTTAGTGCCCCACTCACTGAAGTGCCTTGCGGATGTACTGACCATCTGGAAAAAAAGGAAGTTGACGTGGTGCTTCCTATTCCATCAAAAAAACTGTTTGACCTTCTTTTTAAAGAAAAATCAGTGCCAATATGGCAGGCACTTGATATCAGGCGTGGTGCATCTAGTACGTTCCAATCGACCATATCGCGGCTTTTATACTTTGGCTATGCATATCCATGTTTACTAATGCCTGTTGTATACAGATCGGAAAGAGGGGGTGTGGCAACATGGACCAACACCCACACGAGAAGTATCATATGTCTTGGCAATGAACAACCCGCTATTGAAATTCAAAGAAGTTGATGTAAAGGAAACCAGTAAAATCATCAAACAGACCGACTGGATGTAAGCACATGTCTATTTGTTATTCCATAAAACAAGATTGTATGATTTGCTTTCTAAGCACCAAATATTAGAACATACTGTGTCGAACTGAAAACACATGCTCCTCAAGTCCCATTCAGTGACTGCTTCAACCCAGTGATTAGATATTGCATATCGTGGGTGACTAAAGATACATGTAGATTGATTATAACCATCGCGGTGAATTTCACAAAGGGGACAATCATGAAAAGTGTGATCAAGAGCAATGCCATGAAAGGACTGCAGGAAACATGTACAGATATTGTATTGGTTTTAAAGGATGAGATTCGAAAAGAGAATGCAAAACGCACAGGCAATTCTGCCATTGCACTGGAATTTGATGGTGCCGATTCTTCAGTTGGTGAAAATCAAACAAGTGGTCACTCGAATCCTGACAGCAGTTTGGGTCCAAATGGATCTGGCTGCAACTTGGCTGTGAATCCAACTGTTGCATTGGTTGTGGTGATTGTTGCAATTCTGTCGCTGTTTTTGAATCTATTGACATGGACATACAATGGAACAGACAATCGAATAAGTTCCCGACATGAAGGTTTGGAATCAGATTCATCCATATTAAACTCTCCGTGGCATTTTGGACAAATTGACTGGTCGACCGAGCTTAAATCCAAACAGCTTGGCACTGTATCTCCAAGGTGAGTTTTGAGGTTACTTTTGAAAGATGCGTACTACTGATGAGTTGTTTCATTGGATCGTGCCAGTAGTAACTTATTATCAAACTTGTCATCAAATCTGTCATTAAATTGAAAACTAGAATGAGAGAGTTTCTTCAACTCCAATTCAATGCCACGATATCAGACGCACATATTCCACACATGCTCACTCCATCCATTCCAGACACTCTCACGCACACTCTACATAACATGGAGTTTGGCCAAACCCATACGACACTACTTTACTGGAAATCCATCATTGCTGATATCCGCAAAGAAGTTGAAATTCTTGTTTGCATGCTTGATGATATGGAAAAACATTTGGTTTGGGCATTATACTTTAACTGGGTCCAAGATGTTATTCTTTCCAGATGTGGTAACAATCAAACTGTGGGCAGTACAAATGCCAACCAGATATACTGTTTACAAGTTGTAGAAATTGAGGCTGTATAAGCTGTCTTGGTGATCCAACAAAGTAGTATTCGATCTCAATTGTGTGGAAACACGTAGACTGGTTTCTTGCAACTAATTCATGACTATAACTCGAGTTTCTCTGACAATATTTAAAATCGGTGATTGAATCAGTGATATACACGGCGAAAGTGTTTGAGTAGCTGAATAATAAAGTAGTTTCAATGCGGCTGTTTTTATTCCTACTGGTTAATGTAGTTTTCAGTGTTCCAATAGTAAGTTATTGTGTCCATTCCACAGTTGTTGGATTCCAAGTTGACTGACGCCTTGTCAGTTGTTTTAAACACTTGGAATGGCTTTATTCGTAGAACCAGAGTCATTATGGTTGTAAAATGATGGTCCACTTGCTGATTCGGTTAGTTTATCTAGTTGGATGGAAAGCCGTTTATTACAGCCGTATTCACGTAAATGGAACATTGTATCTGTCTTGCAATGGTGTCATTTTACTTTGATAGACAATGGTTAAACATTCGTTGTGTTGTCCTATTGGGAATTGATTTTTATGGACACTCGATTCAATAAACACGACATTCATCATATGATGCACACAATCAAACTATAGTTTTGAGCCAATATTCTTTTTTGGTACAACCATACGTTGTACAGTCGTCAAGTTTGAACGCATATTTATCCATTGCAATCTAGATATTGGGTTCGACTGTCAAGTCTGCAAGCTTGTTTGTTGTATCTTGAATCAGATGCGTTTGCGATCTAGTTTGGCAAAACAACGATCGCACATTTCAGGAATGCAGCTGTTGCTTTCATGACAAATCACCACCAACAATACCAGTCAGCTTTGTCAGCAAGTTCAAAGGACACGATGCTTTGCAGTAAATCTGATGACATCAATCATGTTGCAAGATTGGCTGTTTATTATGTGGTTTGATGTTCTTGTCTAGTTGTTTATTTTGTGTGAACATGACAGTAAATTGGACATACAATCTAATACAATCTAATACAGCAAGCTTAGTCAAAACCGATTGGAATGCAAGTTTTACTTGCAATTCATAACTGTAGCGCAGCGATAGAATCCAATCTATCAAGTGCTGATTGAGTATTTATGTTCTGAATTGACAGTCTGTCAAAATTGAATTTTGCAATAAAACTTTATAACAAGAATTGCAAATACTTTATTGTCTGCTCGAGCACATTTGCTGAAAATCTCATTTCAAGCAATCGTCGTAGTCGCGCTGACCAAAGTTTTTTTCCTGATAGTCAACCTGAATTCGTTCAACTACCGATTCTAATAATCTGATAAAAATGCTACGACTGATATCACAGACTGCAAGAGTGGGTTGCTCTCCTATGCGACCCTTTTCTACACCCTTTCTTGTCATGACACTTGCTGTTCGAGGTGTATTGTCCGATCGATCAAGTCAGCTCAAGCCAGCCTCTGCCATTCAACACATGGATTCGCCATCCATCTCCAAACCAAGGCAGTTCCAACCAGCTCATAGCTTTCCAAAGACTCCCAAACCACCCGTCAGATTTAATCTAGACAAACTATCCAAACTATCCGGTTGGGAAAAGGTGGAACTTTTTCGAGACTTTGTTAAAAATCATATGCCTTTGGAAGCACTTGCTGTTTATGAACGACTTCGGGTCAACAATATCATCCATCAGTTGACTTATCAGGACCACCATGCCATGTTTCATTTGCTGCTTGCCAATCCTGTGGTAAACCGCGAGCCAATTGGCGAGATTGTTGGATACATGATACAGCGAAACATGAAGCCAAGCGAGAGTTTTTGGATGTCATATATTCATTGCTGTAGCCACAAGTGGAGAGATATGGAGCATACCATGTGGGCGTTTAATCAAATGCTGGATAATAATATCAAGGTGTCGACTGTTACATGGAACGATGTATTGAACATGCATGCATATAATCAAAAGGATCTGCAGATGCTCATGGAGGGTGTCAAGATTTGGGAGCGTATGGATAGTCAAGAGGTAGCAGCTCAACCGGATCTAGAAACCTATTTGTGCGTGATGGATCTATATGGTCGCTTGGCTCGCGTTACAGATGCAGAAGGAATCTATCAGCGTGCTTTGAATGAACTGTCAGATCTGGTTCATCGGTCTCGGCAGCTGACTGCAGTGAGTGATAGACAAAAAAAGAAGCTAATGGCAATCAAGGTTGAACGGGACATGGCAGTCAGACTGTTGAATGGAATGCTAGGTGTATATGCTCATAGTGGACATGTGGCCAAGGGGTTGAAGCTTGCCAATGCGATACTGCAGCACGGAGTCATGAACGATGTGGATATGACGTCTCAATCTACCGCACAGTCATTGTATTCACTGTTGTTGAAGTTGTGTGTCCAGTCCAAGGATCTCTCGAGCGCGCTCAAATACATGGACGATGCTAAGCGACGAGGTGTTCGTGTTGATGCGGTCATGGTTGGTCGTCTTGTGCATGTTCACGGGTTTTCTGGAGACCTGCAAGGTGCAAAGCAAGTGTTTGACGCAGCTCTTACCCAACTCCAACTGGACAAGCAAGGCAATCGATGGCAGGATTTGCACACTGCGTATCTCCAAGCGATTGTGGTTTCTGGTGACATTTCAAGTGCCAACAAGTGGTTTTTTGGCGAGTATCAACAAGCGTTTCCTAAAGAAAAAAGACTTTTGCGCATGGTATACAATCTGATGATTGAAGCCAACCGAGACATTGGCAACAACGATGTTGCAGACAAAATTGCTTGTGAAATGCAAGCTGCATATCGTGTCGAGATTCCAAAAACAGTATGCCATAAAGCTGGCACGGATATCTAATGCAATCAAAATGGGAACACCAGTATGTGTACCATCACCAATCTATTTATAATATATCAAATTATGTCTAATATAAACTGGGTTGCAATCTATCATTTCATCAATAATCCATGTCCAATCTTGGTGTAGTCCTGAAATAAACTAACCCAACCAAACATTTATTTGTTTTTGAGAGTCTTTTGTTTTTCGGCATGCTCAACCACTTTCTTTTCTGTAAACATCCCCTACAAGCATCAAAAAGTACAAATCAGTCATCACAGTCCAGTAGAAGCAGGATCCAATGTATTTCACAATTGCACAGGTCTACATACCTTGCGTTTATCAGCAACTCATGGCACGGTAATGATTTTGCTTGTGAAATTTTAATCACTCAAAACATGATTTTAATGGCCTTTTAAAAGGCAGACTAGGCAAAAAACAGCCCATTAAAGGTTCATGGCATGAAGATTTGGAATAGTGGCAATTCAAGAGATGAGATGCAAACAGCTTAAATCAGAGTTTTTATTTACAATTAAAAAATAAGCAAACTTGTGAAGTTAAAGAAAGTATTTCAAAAACTTGAATTAAAAGATTCAAGGAGTTTTTAAAAAAGCAAAATACAGCCGTATTCACGTAAAATAACCATTTGTATTCATCTTGTGGTGATTCTATTTTGTTCTGTATTTTTGTACAAGAATGAACACGGAGGAGAAAAACAAATAAACAAGATTTCAAATTACAATTTTGTCTAGTAAAATTGGCAGCAATCAAATATGGCAGTTTATCATGCATTTCGATATTTAGTGTTTCATTTTACATGAACACAACTGTAGTATGCAATACTAAAGTTTGATTAAAAATATATATTTATAAGCAAGAAAGCTTATATGATCCGCATTGGTCCAGTGGTTAGGATCCCACGCTTTCACCGTGGTGGCCGGGGTTCGATTCCCCGATGTGGAGTTTTTTTACAACAGATTGTGAACCAAGCCAGTTACTAATGTGTAGATGGCATGAATTGAGCACTGCTTGAATAGCAGTTTTTGGAGTAGAATTATTTGATGTTATCCAAAACAAATGCATGTGCAGATCAGAGTGATTGGACAGTGTTTTGTAGATATACAACTTGATCGAGCCCATAGTACTGCGAATGATACTACAGCAGCAACTACCACCATCAAGCTTATAAGATCCAAAGAATGTCCAACAGTCCCGCAAGAACTGCTGATATCCGGATCTACTCTTATATGCCGTAGTGGAGGTGTGATTCGCAAGACCATATCTCTTGTAGATAGTCCTATAATTGATGCTTTATATGCCAGCTTCCAGATACAGCCGGATCAAAGTAGTGGATCCAGTCCATCTTTAAGCAGAAATTCAAGACTGTCCAAGCTGGACAACATCAGCTTGAAGGCAGCAGCAGTAAAATCATCTATTACAGATGCAAACAATGCATGCACTTCCAAGCTGAAGGAAGCATTGCTGGTTGTGTCTGCAGGAACTCTATGGTTTTATTTTCATGGACAACAAAACATTCAAGTTAGTCTGCCATTTCCTGTGCGTCGAATCTGGCCGCTTGCATCTGGTGGAATACTTTTGGAGCGACGCATGCTGTCATACTGTCCAAGGACACTTGATGGTTCTACACTTTTTTATATAATACGACATCCACTAGATTTGATTCAACCAGTGTCAGTTGTTGGAATGCCATCTGATTCTCCTGATTCTAACGTGGCTGCAAGTGTGTCGCATAGACCATTGCATGCTTTCAACCCAGCTAATAAAGCCGATCTTGGGGTTGCTGCCATTGATACTGCTCTAAACAGTATGGCAAATGATTCTCCACAATACATAGTAGTCTATGTTTCGGATGACTTTGGTACTGGTCTGCCTGACGTTGTTGTTCTATACCATGCGTCGTCTTTATCAATTCATGTATTTGCTTTGAAATCTAGTCAGTTCCAGATGTCTACTGATTTTTCAAGTCCACTCGATAAAACAGACCAGTCACGCTCTACACCAACCACTAATATTCCGTCGTCTGCACAGTCGGATTTCGTACCATCATTATCAATTCAAGATCATCATTTATTTGCATCATCGGATATACTGGAGCCAATCTGGAAAGCTAAGCTTCCTTTTGATGGGTATGTTGCATATTGCTAATTCAATCGAAAATTTGAATGCTTGAAGCGTTATCAGTCGGTGACTAATCATACTTTAGAGTTCCAGATTCGTGTTTTGTTGCCCATGGAAGCAAAAATGAACGAGTGCTGTGGGTATTCAACAAGTCTGCTGAAGTAGCAATTGTGTTTGAATTGGATACTATCAATCCACATAGCTTTGGAACTTTTTCGGCTAAAAACGCAGTTCCAGTCAAATGTACGAGGCGATTGTATACAGATGCACTTTTAACTACAGAGGGTCACAATGTTTTGATTTGGTTTGGCACACAAAAGCTGATTTCATGCTCACTTCCGGATAACTTTAAAGATCAAATCGAGGAATCGGGATCAAAAAATAAGCGTCAACGAAGTAGAAAGAATCAGTCATACCATTCACACACAACACTGATTAAACACTCTCCTTCAAAATCTCGTCGAGAATCTTCACATCAGCCGTTTGCTAGCAGCCATATGTTTGATATCACACATTGGTTTGATAGTACCATAATCATGCGACTGTCTAACGGAGAATATATTTGCACTGATTTCTCATTCTACACACAATCTACCCTAGTATCGTCAGCATTTCAAGCCATCAAGTCGGTAGTATCTGCCGATCAATTTGCTCAGCTTTTTTCTAGATTCATCACTTATTGCAACTCTAATCGCGCCTTACATCCGTTTGAATACTCGTTAAAACGCTCTTCTTATCAACAAGTTTCAGATATCAACACTCCTTTGAAATTGATGGCTTCGAATATAGATGCATTGGAATTTGAGTTTTTTATGATCACATTGCTGTCTTTTTTCCATAAATTCGAATCTTCTATGCCCAGCTACTATTCTACAGGTGTCGAAGAACACATGAAATCCACGTTAAATTCAAATGCTGAGCACGAAGACTGGGAATGGTTTTGCAAGCAATGCGATACATCAAAAACGCATCGGTCTCTTCCAGCTCTTGTCAATGAAGAGTTTCATCGTGGAGATTCAACTACTTTTCAGTTAAACGACTCATTTAATCTATACAGAGTATTTAGCGAATCATGGAGTCTTTATTCGCTGTTTAAAATGGAGTCAAGTTTATGTAAAGATATAGGAAATATTGTAATGGTACTTCATGCAGTCTACGAAGACCATAAATTGAGTCCTGCATTTGCATCACATGCTCGAAATCTTGGCTGCTTTTTGTGTAGTATTAGCGGAGCATTTGGATGGCATTCATATATTGATTATTATTTTCGAGATGGAATCGTCACACCACCGCTTCCTATTCAAGGTAATAAGGTGTTTTGTTATTCCAGATGCATGGCTTGCCATTCTATGATCCTGAATACATTTTGTCATTTTAGTGTTGAATTGCCCGTCAGAACCATCTCCGCCCATTGATATTTTTGCGTGGGTTTTGCAACGAATCAAGTGTGCCAACGAGGATCATATAGAGATTTTTGGACCTTTAAAGACAATTTGTTGCTATGAAATTTTGCAGATTTCTTGTTCTAGAATCAGCAAGATAGTTCAACTATACAATGCTTTGTATTCCTTATATACAGTAGCTTCATCTGACACAGCCAAAGATGCCTGCATACCTCCACTACTGCGCATCATGAGCGATTTAAAATTTTCCTTGACGGATTTAGATGAGCTTCCCGTGGGTATTAGTCTACCGCTTCGTGAGGCGCTTCATGAATATCGCACAACGCTATTGTGTGACAATCTAAATTTCCACCAACTTAAGCTTTTAGGAAGGGACGATATTGCTACACAGCGATTTCATAATCTTTTGCCAAAAAACAAATCCTTGATGAAATTTCGCTGTGAGGTATGTATGAGTATCAATATGCCATTTCATTGGCTTTGATTATAACTTTAAACACTCATTTGACTATATTTAAAAAGATAAAAATTAAACATACTGATTAAACACTTAGGAGCCAACTCTAATGGCCACTTTGGTTGAAGATATTCACCAGACTGTTGCTGATGGTCGAGATCCATCAATTCCATTGTACCGTGCAACAGACACCGATTGTGATACAGTAATGAAGTTGCGATTTGGTAGCAAACAAGGCTTGGTAACAGCAATGAAACTCCTGCATCCAAGTGGATCACACGAAATCACGCTTGCTGTGGCTTCAGATGCTAGTGAGGAAAACGTACTGGCTCAACAACAAGCCCATCTATTCAGTATTGCTTCCCGAGAGTGGCCTGTTGCTATTGGAAGGGGCATGCTTCTTGCATACTCTCGTCACATTATGCCTACCGAGTTTTTAGATATTCCAAGTGTGTCTATTTCTGCTAGATTCTTTCCGATGCAAGTAGATATTACATTAGATCTTCAGCCCTCAAATCAGTCCATTCCCAATGCACGCGAATGGGCCGAGTTTCACGCAGGAGTGGCTTCGGGTATGCAAGTATCTGGTGATTCCGCATTTGTTGATAGTTCATGGTTAGTGTTTAACCAACACTTGACAACTGGTCCATTGGGAATTGATGCCAAGCATGGTGGACTGGTGGTTGGGTTTGGGCTTAATGCACACCTTGAAAAGCTCAGCTACGTTGTCATTTTAAACCATTACCTTAAAAAACAGCATACAATGGGCACGGCGGGTATGCTATTTGGTCTTGCAGTTTCCTATATTGGATCCCAAAACACTCAGTTCACTTCGGTATTATCTACTCACATCCCCGACTTTCATCCTCAGAATGCCACAGATCTTAAAACAGCTCCTATGGTAACTTCAGTTTGTATGCTGGGTTATGGATTGGTTTACATGGGCTCGAGCTCGCGTGAATGCATTGATGAGATTTTTTGTGGACTTTATAAGCAACAGCTAAGTCAGCTCGATGAGCAGAATTCACAAAGAGAATGTTATGCAATTTCATGCGGGTTTGCGCTTGGATTTGTACTTCTTAAGCATAATGAATCTGATGCTGGCATGAAATCTGGCCCGAGAAATGTTCCAATAGTCGACCATGATCCTTTATCAGATCAACTTTTTAGCTTGATTAATGGAAAAGGAACCGAGCTAACTTTGGCACCTGGCCTTATTGCACTTGGACTAGCATATTTGAAAAGCAACAATATAGCCTTGTCTAACCGCATTGAACTACCATCGTCGGTGTATATGCTCGACTTTTTTAGACCAGATACACTGCAATTACGTGTTATTGCACGCAGTTTGATTATGTGGGATTCCATTGATCCGTCGTTAGCGTGGATGCATTCACTTGTTCCAGATTTCATTCTTGAAAGAATGGCTAAACTGTCTGGGATCTTGCCATCAGCACAGGGTCAAGACAGTGTATATATTTCAGTTGATATGAATTCAAGTTCTGGAGAATGGTGCATATATGTAATTCAGGCATATTTATATATTATGGCTGGCTCGTGCCTGTGTTTGGCACTTAAATTTGCTGGATCGTGGGATAAACGAGCGTATACAGCCACTGAGCCTTTTATGCAAAAATGTCTTCAATTAATATCGGGTGCTCGAGGTTAGTGCTCATAACTGCTATGCTTGACTGAAATTTATTTTTTGATGATGTAAAAGCTGGTAAAGAGTTGATCTGGCTACTAATATTAACTATGTGGCGTAGGAAACATAAGCAGTCATGACAATTTTATGATACGCCTGGCAGCACAATCCGCTTTAAATGTAGTTTGCACATCGATGGGTGCTATTATGGCTGGAAGTGGAGATGAAAATCTTGTAAAGTATTTTAAACAATTTTCAGAACGAACACAATCTGAAAACGCATACGGGCAGCATATGGCAATAGGCATGGCTACCGGGTTTTTGTTTCTTGGAAAGGGAAAGCTTACACTCGGGACATCAAATGTAGCAATTGCTGGTTTGCTCTGCAGTCTATATCCTACTTATCCATCTACTGTTGATGACAATAGATCTCATAATCAAGCCTTTCGGCACTTGTGGACTCTTGCAATTGAAAAGCGATGTCTAGTTGTGCGTGACGTTGACACGCGCGAACCTATTTCAGTTCAAGTTAATGTTTCTGTTGCCTCGTCTACTGATTCTACAAAAACAAGCGTTTTTCAAATGCAATCTCCTTGCATACTCCCCTATTTGGCACAAGTCAAGTCGATTGCTGTGAATTCTCCTCGGTACTGGCCAGTGACAGTTGATTTTCAAAGTTTATCTGAAACGGAAAAACAGACATTATTGAATGGACTATGGGTGAAAAGAAAAACCGGTCACTTGCCTTATTCAATGGTATATAGCTTGAACATATAGTGAATGGTGGACCAATGTGTTTGACCGTGATTCTGACAACTAAACTTTAACCATGTATTTAGGATCCGCATGGGCACAATAGCATTTTAATGTGGACTGTACCACGACTTGGTGATTTTTTAAGTGATACCGATATACAGCAGATACAAACCGTTTGGGAATCGCTTCCACAATCCTTTTCAGCTGACCCCCAGGTGTTTTCATTTGTTCAGCATTTTTGTGATATCCAAGCAGACGAGCCAAGTGAGTTTCAAAAGGCCGAATTTTTCATGCACATTCTTCATGAATGCTTGACTCTTGACAAACCAGAGTTGATTCAGACATACATGTGGCTCAATGAAACCATCAATGGAGTTGAGCAAAAAACCTCTTCACCAGAATCTATCTGGAGTTTGGTTCTAGTTGCTGCTCATTATTCTGCTCGCTACCAGCGCGTTTTAGATCTATTTTCTGATCCAAACAATAGACAAACATGCTTTGACAGTATTAACGGAAAGAATTTTGAATGGACTGATGTCGTCGAGGCAGTAAAGCAAGTCCAGTCTCGCAATTTGATTAAACAGTCATTTGTGGATGCCATTTCCAAAAGAATTGACACGTTTTTAAACTCATCTGCAGTAGATACACTCGGTCAAAGTGGTTTCTGTGCCAGCATGACGTTTTATTTAAAAAAGGCCTTGGAACCAATGCCTGTTGGAACAAACGGTTATGCAACCAATGCCATTTCTCCAATGTTTGGTTCCTATCTGATAGCCAAAGGTATTCCTAGTCTAGCCAAGCTTCGTCAGTTACAAAATCAGCTATCGCAATTTTCTAAACAACATCCCACGACTATTTCTGTCAATGAATTGATTTTATTTGGTCATATGATTGATCCGGATTGCCCAGATGTTGTTTTGCAGTGCATGCATGCGTTACTAAAATAAACAGATGTGATCTATGCTTATTGCATGCAAAAAGATGCAAAATCTTTAAGCTTATATTTATTGTATTCAAAAACCCAACAAGGCTTACTAGGATAAAATGCCAGAATATCTAGAAAAAAGTTTACGGGCTTTGCGGTGCCATCAAGATGAGTTTTGCAGCCTCCATGACCCGTTCCAATTCTAAAGCTGCAGCTCTTGACTGTGTCATGTTTGGGGTTTGACTATCAGAAATATCATTTTTGAACAATTTTCTACAGTTATGAATTCAACAATGGCCCATCATCATGTTAGAATATATCAATCTATTTACAAGCCCACAAATAAATAAACGATGCAAACAACTCACCGAGCAGGCGAGGTGGGAGATGTAGAGTCTACACGCTTTCTTGTGCCATGATATGGAGTGGTTGATGCGTCTAGATCAGCATTCGCCAACGGTATAGTACTCAAAGTAGATTCAGATGAAACTGCTGTCGAAAGAACGGGCTCAAGCGGATGGGATATAGTTTTTACAGGCACCAAAGAATCCAGAGCAAACAGTCGAGAAAGATCCATGCTTTCTATCCGAGAATGCATTAATTGTTTGCTTTTAAACACAAATTCTTCTACATTTTTATGAGCATTGACGGGTAAATATGGAACCATCTTGGACTCCAGTACTGCCACAAAGGGAGAAAATGCAGCTGTGGCAAATTGCAAAAGGATTTGAGCCAGTGGAAGACTAGAATCGAGAGAAAATGATTCATGAACAGTATCAGAAATGTGCTGGTATATACGTGCCGCATTATCTTGAATACACGCATGCGTTTCAATTGCCGGGATGTGTTTAAAATATTCTAAAAAATAATTACATGCGTTAATGTAATCAAGATGCTCGTTTTTAGCTAAGTGGTGCGCTTCCAACAGTCTTGATTGATGTGCTAATCGTAAATACTGTTTCAAAGTAGCTGGAGAGTTCCATGTCAAGGGTAGTTCACAAGTCTCTTGAAATTCAACGGCAGGAAATGAAATATTAAGCATTTCCTCGGCAGCAATAATGTCGCACAGTGTAGTTAAAAAAAGATTGTAAACCTCGACAAAAATATTTAGTGCGGTACAAAGCGTTTCGGGATATTTTTCTAATTGTAAATGGTTGTCAGTAATTGATCATAAACACAGTACCAATGAAAAACTTACTTGTATACGGTAACAACGCCGACTCAATGTGATTTGCTGCAGACTGAAGATGGAACGAAAGTTTTGGCGATATAAACTCTATTGCAGTGGTTTTATAAGCAGTGGTTTTATAAGCATTTCAAAATACGACCAGTTAAACCAGGTAAAAGCATATAAAATAAAAAATACCTTGCAGTGGATTCATGCAAAGATCAGGTTGAAAATGAAGCCGTTCAACTAGCATCGTAATGGCTGATTCAAGCTTTGCACAAGCCAAACTATTATCAAAGTGACCAAAAGAAGCTTCCAGTCCGAAAAAGGAAAACGAAGAAATTGTATTTTCTTCCAAATATATATCCAGTCCCAATGTAGCATAAACCTGCGACTGAATATAGTGTGCTGGAAGTCTGTTGGTATCCCAATACGCGATCAACAATGGACAATGACAAGCTCGAGGCATATTACTCATTAGTTCTTGAAAACGAGAAATTTGCAGTTTCCAATACATATCGATGGCGCAGTGGTCGTTCAGCTCATCCAGCTGAAAAATAATTGCATTGACTCCTGATATAGTCGCTTCAGAATTATGCTATACAACAAAAACATCAGAGTCTGATGAGTATGGTTTATAGTCCAGTAAATTGGTAAAAACTAATATTGATTATAGTCTAAACATCAAATTTACCTTTTGCTCTGTTAAACCAGTTTCACCTACATAGCAAAAATTATTTACACACAAATAAACCCTGGGACCATTTGGGCCAATCTCAAACACTTTGGTCCAACTTTTCTCTACAGAAGTGGGTTGACTTCCGACAAGTTTACAAGCCAGCCAAGTCATGGTAAGTGGCGACATTCTATCACGCATATCCAACTGTGCTGTGGGTAGAGAAACAACAAACTTGAGAAATATTTTTCTAAAACTACCAAGATCGTTCCGACGTCTAATGGTCGGAAAAATGCATTCAGTCCAATCCATTGGTTCTTGCCATTTGGATCGCTCCAGGTCAGCCTATAAAGCATTCAAAAATAGTATGTGTTGGTTCAACAAAAAAGTGATAAAGAGTGCAATAATTTTTCAGTCAAGTTATCAAACCAATCTGATCCACTCACAGCAGCAGCCAGTTTGACAAGACGTTCACCAAATTGCTTATCATTGTAATCCGTTGAAAGTCGTAGCATAGGGGATTGTGAAACCCCAAATTGGGGTCGAAAAGAAGGTGCGAGTGAAGATGCGGAAAGATTGGAGCGTAGGTGTAAAGTAAGCTTCATCATAGCTTTTCGGCGAATGCGTCGCTGATGACAAATAAATCGCCATCTAAACCATCCAAATGCTTCCATTTGCTGAATCCATTGCTTTTCATCAATGAGTTGCATTACAATTTCTTCAATGCCGTTAAAAATTAATTGATCCAATAGCTCGTCACTGATACTGCTGACTGCATTTTTAAAAAGCAGTAAATCTCGTTGTGAAGATACGCACTCTTTTGTATATTCCTGCACTAATTCCTCAATCAAATCTCTGGAAATGTCTTGAGCTATGCTATCGCCATATTTATCTACATGCTTTATAGTAGAAGGCGCCTTTAAACAAGTAAACACGGGTGAAGATTTGATAGAAGCGGTTCTTTTCCTATTACTAGAAAGTCTATTGTCCGACAAAGTAGATTGCGCTGTATTGATAGTGGGTAAAATCGGATTCGCGAAATCTTGCTTTGGCGGTTGAAGTACTGTTTGCACATTACCAACTGGAGTACTCGACTTTAAATAGGGTGCTTGTTGAAACTGTGAAAATGTAAAATTAGTAGTAGGCATAGCAGATTCTGAAAAGTAGGATGTCGGAACAGTTGCTGGAGCAATGTAGTGTTGTGTTTGTTGAATAGGAGGTGGAAAGGGAAACAGTGCAGGACCAGCATCTTGAGTTGGATGGCCAAACATTAAAGGATTTGCAGTAGTGTTTAATAATGGAGCATTGTCTAGAGGTAATTTCAGGGTTAGATGCTGAGGAAAAGGTTGAGCTGCAGGAATGATATTATTAGAGAAATTTGAAGATTGAAGGTGACCAAAAGTAAAGGCGTACGGCTCTGTTGTGTGTGGTGTAACAAAAGTTGAGGCATGTTGATTAGAAAATCTATTATCATCAAAAGTGAGCTTTGAGGTTGGTTTGTTGAGCAATGGCACATTCTGATTATTAGAGTTTGAAGTAGCACAAGAAAATGGTTGAGAAATATTAGGTAATAGAGACGGTTTTGCAATGTAATTTCCTTTGCCATTTACAATATCTACATCGGTCAGACCAAATCTCTTGGATTCAACCAGCCGAATCGATTTACGAGGAGTCAGTCTTCCTCGTTCCTTGAGTTTTGCCGTATTGGGATTTTCTAAAAGTTGATTCAAAGAATATGCTACTTGTAAGCCAACATATCATATGCCAATACATCTAATTGGGTAATTCATATAGCGTGGTGGATCATACATACCAATAAAAACTCCAAACTCCATAGATCGTTTTCCTCGATCGGTAACAATTGGCATTCGCCCAATACATGCTAGTTGCTGGCCATTATCCTCATCTACTTGAATTCCGTAGTACTGCAAGGTTTCTACCACTTCGTCTTCATCCTCAAATCCCAGTATGCGTAGCAAATCTTGTACAGGAAACCAACGACGTTTTGCCTTTAAAACACAATGATAGGACCGTTGCATAGCTTTCAAGGCACCACGACGAATATCTGCAAATTCCATCTGTAGACAGCATGCAAACAAGTATGGCACATTAGAGTTTTGGATAGCCAAGAATAAAGCTGCATAGTTGTTCAAGGAGCCTGCAACTGATGGTCGTCCCATGATATATTCTTCATTGGTTCTTGCCATGAGAAACCGAAGATGTAGAGCGAGTTGAACTCGATCGTCTAAAAAAACATGCTCGGGAAGTTCAGATTCGCACTTGGAAACATGCTCATTGCTCCAAGCATGCGTCAAAATATAGTATGCTTGAAACTCGGGCTCGTTTGGCATTCTAACTCCTTTAACAGCCATTTCCTTGTAGTATTCCATCAAGCTTTGCAATGCTGTTTGATCAAATGTGATATTTAAGCCATTTAAATGGATATAAATCATGTAATGCAATAAACTTGTAAATACGCCAAATCACAAGTGGTTGAATTTAAAAAATCGCATCATAGTTTCTAGATATGTAAAAACCTACTTTTTCTCATTTGTTCGTGTTCCTGTTGTAATGAAACGGATGTCGAATCACAAAATGCATGAGAGCACATGATGTGATAGCGAGCAATACGTTCATGTAACTCAATGGCCTCCTTTCCACGATAGTTTTGGATTGTCAAATCCGTTCTAATAGCTCGAGCACGATCACGAACAAACGAATACGAATCTTCAATGCCATACTTTCCAAGAATCTCGTCAAACAGATAGTCCAGAGTTTTCAACAGTACAGATGGAGGACGAACATCACAAGGCAGAGGTACTGCCATTCCAGCAGCTGATCTATGAAAACGCTTTACTGCTTTACTGTGATCAACTCTATAGTCACCAGGCGTCGTGGATGTCATCTATGATATATTCAAACCAATAAACTATGCAGATTAATAAATGAACATCACAGCTTTGAATTTAAACAAAGGGTAGAGTAAAAACAGTCTAGTAGAAATTCAACTAGTCAATGCAGGCCGTTACTCTTTCTAATCTGTCCAAGCCACGTTCATATTCACGCTCATGTCGCTCATATTCTGGACACATATCCTTGCATTCTGCAACAAACTTGGGTGCGCTATCCAGCGGATACTGCATATCTGGATCAGCCATTTTATTTTCTTTAATGTAGCGTTTTTGCAATGCATCGCGATTGGCCTTCATCTAGTATCAATTTACTCATATATTAATATGAAAAATCTTGAAAAATCTGATGAACACCTTAGCCAAAATATTTGATTACCTCGATAAATCTATTAGATGATCCGGTTTTAACTGAGAATCGCTCATCACGATCAGATTTAGTGGTTTCGACGCTAATTTTGAAATTAGATATTGACTAGTACAAGATATTGCAAAAAGTAGAGTATTACCTAGAATTGAGTGATATAATGACTGGAGCATCGGCCTCCTTGCGATTTCTTGAGTCAAAGGTTGCGGTTGACACATCATCTAGATACCTTGGTCAAACAAAAGATTGAATCATAGAATTTTCAAAGCATAACAGTAAACTTACCAAATACAACATCTTGTTTTAATGCAAAAGATTGTGGTGAATAACTAGGTTCTGTATACATGTGATGCTGATTTCCCGACGAGTGTCTATTGAATTCAATTTCAGACTGCGCAATTGAAGTGATAGGGGCCAAATAATTGTCATAATTTTGCATGGTATCAATATCTACATGGTTGAGCACTAATATGAGTTGATAAATTCAAGCATTGGATATACATGCCCAAAGTGATGCAGTTTGCACATGTAAATTTGATACTGAATCGCCAAGTATTCAAAATATATATACCATGATTGATCAAAGTAGAAGAACTGGCGGACGAGACAGGAGGTTGAGTGGTTCTAAAATCGCGACTACGGTTAGCAAACCCACGAGCAGAACGGTTTGAAAAAGGTACGCCTCTGCCTCGATGAAAACCCAGTGATTGTGGACCATTTGATTTAAATCCAGGAGAATCTATTGTAGAAGTTGAGCCATGATCCAAGGTTGTCCCTGCATAAAAAGGAGATCCTCGCCCACGCCCGCCTCTCCGTCGCGAGGATCCACGTACATACGATCCGGGTGTGTTTGAAGTACCTGTTAATCATGATATGAATAATAAATCAGCACATTCTGAATGTCAATGTACATCAATGCCAACAAAAACAATAGTATAGTAAAAGTGAATACAACTAGCTAGCCAGCAATCAAGAAACACCAACCTTGCTCGACATTGGATTCATAGTAAGATCCTTGAGAGAATTGGTTGCCTTTGCCAACATTGTTCTGAAACCAAAAATAAGCAGCACAATTAGATAGTCAGTTTATGATGTAGCCTTATTGTAATTCAAGGTAGCAGATGCGATCCATTGACTCGACATTTAGACCCAATTCATGACTTGAACAGGACAGTAAGACCATGAGTGCATCAAATACTCGAACCGAATAAAAATAATGCATTGACTAGTATTTGACTGTAGAGTATATATCCATGCTTACTTGAGGATTTGGTAGCATGGATGCATTGGGAGTTAGAAAGCTGAAGGAAGGAGTTGCCGAGGTTCGATATTGATGCGATGGTTTTACAGTACGAGCACCAGAGCGAGTGATGCCGTAGTCAGCGACATTTGGATTTGCAAAAACCGAATTCATTCGGTCATCCATTCAACCGACAGTACGATTCTGTCAATGGCAAGATCCAGTTCTGGTTTGCTGACTGCGATGGTAAGTTGGTTCATCATCAATTCGCATATTATTAAGGGGTGCTTTCGAGTCGGATTAACAGATATTCTTTCCAGATTAATCGACATGCATTCAACTGCAGAAATGAGTCGGTTGTTGCAGCAATGGGCGAATGATATGGGATATGGCATTGAACAGTCTCCGGATTCAATTGGAATCGGGTTTCTAAGTAACGATACTGCCCATGAGTAAGAGCTGGTGTTCATTTACGGCATTCTCAATTGAAATCCTTGAATTCTACGATTCATGTCAAAAACTATTGCAGATACTAACCTGGATTCTGCATTGTCACTATCAAATTACTTGTCAAACTTGGTCATCTGTTGTTGAATCTGATAGTCTATGCAAGCAACAACTTAATTCTTTATGGAGTTTCTTGATCCGTCGTGTACATCCAAAACTGTAAGTTGATGAATTGTCTGCATCAGCCAAACTGTCGGACATGTCAGATTTAATCTATATTATTGTGAATACAGTCAAGTTCAACACATTCGTCGTCGTTTAGAGAGGTCGGTATATGCTTTCTAGTACAATCTTGAATCTCATTGTAAACTTTCATTCCATATTAACAATGTTTTGACTTAGATTCAAGCGTCACATTGAAAATGAGCCTTTCAGCTTAAATCAGCATTTGAATCCATCTGCTAATATATCGGAAAAGCACAAAGAATTAGAAAAGCAAATCAAAGCTGCAAAATCCAGAAACGAAACTCTAAGGTCTTGCATTCATCGTGAAGAAATGGACCAAGCTGATCTTAGACGTGCTATGGATGGAATCGGTACGTTTTTGTTTGATCTCTTTATACTGTAATCATATATTACTTGTTAATATATACAAAATCAGGATTTGAAATCGCACTACAGTCTGAAAAGTTGAATGACAGGCAAAAAAGAGTTCTTTTGGCAGATGCTCATGCTAGGAAATTGCTGGAAAACAGTGCATCACTTTTGCGTGATGCCGAGTATTTGGCACAGTTGACAAACAGAAATACAGTACCACATATAGAAAACGAACAAGTGAGTTGGAACCTATCAAATTCGACTAGACATGTAGCATAGTTTATGCTACATCCAGAGATTCCATATATTGTTCTACAATTTAATGATTATACTTGTAATCTAGAATATTGTTACAGATATTATTACAATCATGCGCGATGCTGTTAATGACAAGGGACTTGATCTTGCTCGTGATCCTACTACTGGTATCAAGGTAAATAGAATAATGAATTTTTCAAGCAATGGTTTTGGTCAAATAATTTAGTGCTGATCATTATTGTATGGCAGGATCGATCTCAATATGTTGATCCAGGTCGAGTGGTGTTGTCTATATCTAAAGATGTTGACCAAGATCTTTCTTTTGTAAATGATTTGTCAATTCCAGTAGACACTGCAATGGATTCGTTGATAACTAGACTTATATCTGTGAGTTGTATATATTCTAGTGTCATACTGCTTCAACTTGTGTATTGTAAGGAATGTATTTTATAACTTGTTTTTGTATATAACCAACACGATAGCAATTGGCAAAACAACATTCACAGCGTTTTGTTGAAACAAAAGAACTTGAGGTTAAGATTAAGATGTTGGAGCGCGATGTTGATATAATTTCTACTCGACTCGCAGAACAGGTCAAACATACTTGTAATGATTCAACTGATGCGTTTATGTAGGCATATTAATTCTTTGTTGCATTCATCTTATGACTATATTGTCTAAAACAACTCACTCTGGGTTTACTCGATTAGTGAGCATACTATGCATACTGCAAATTTGTTGGCAACTCGCAAAGTACTTTCAAAAGCAATGCTGTACAAGACACAATTTGAGGATTCATTGCAAGATACGCCCAATACCAATTCCGATCCTTCGTCTTTAGCTTTTGACAACTATCAATTTGCTCAGAATGAAATGGTATGCTATCAATACGCCATTTATGCGTTTTTACAGTGCCAAAACATATTTAAAATGATTTACTGTTATCATCCATTAGCTTGTGATATTAACCTTGTTTTTGGATGTAATTAGTCCAAACATCAGGCTATGCTGGATGCATTAATATCGACCACTCATGGACTTCATACGTTGAATGTGGATACTTTAAATCAGGCATGTACACCTGTACGGTAGATGTTATTAAATTTGCTAAATGTTAAAACTAACCGTTATTTTGACTAGATTACTACTGATTTTCATGCCATGTCAGTACCAGAAACAACATGCAGAATTCGACGAGTTCCAAAAGCTATCAAGCAATCTGGTATTCAGATGTTTGACCAAGTCAAAACAGTGTCCATCAACAGAGCTCTTGTGTCGCTTAATAAGTGTGATAATATTGAATGGACAAGGTTTTTATATCATCTACATAAGATTTTAATTATATATGCATGATTGGGTTAGTGATGATGCTAAAAAAAAGGAATGGAACTGGATCAGTAATGAACTCATGACTCAGATTCGAAAAGCATCCAGTTGCAGACTATACAAAGTAAGTATTGTTCAAAAGCAATTGCTGTTTAATTCAAGTATTTTTAAATCTTATTTACACGACTCTGAGTTATAGTCATATCAAAGTGTTTTGGATGAAATGCAACTATGTAAATTTCAAGGTACGTAATCTGATTGTTGATGCGGTTGGATGTGTTGTGATGGTACTGACTGGTTAATGCATAGTATCTATTTTTGAATCCTTGATTGATCGAACTGTTAAATTGAACGAGACGGCAAAAAGTTGCCATGAGACCAATAAGAATATAATTGTAGACTGTGATGGTATGCTACTTGATATTTTGGTTATTGGTCTGCATTGATTAAATATGTCTACTTGTATTAATTTTTTTGATATTTGTCAGATTTTCAATTGACCACAAAGGATCAGTATACGAATCACATACTTCCAATGATGAACCAAAGCTTACAACAGGCTGAGCAATCTCATCGCACGTTTAATTTAATAGATGGCATTGTCAAAGAAAGGTAACTTTAGTTTCAAAGCTTAACCAATCTGCACGTTCTGATTTCATGATATTCATTCAACTGACTTTGAATTGTCATTTTGATACTTGCTGTTTAAAAGAAACTGGTTTATGCATGAACGAAAGGATCCTTTTGCTCCAAATGGTTCTTTGGAAAACTATATTAACCAGAGATGCGTTCCGTCACCAGATATTGGATAATCTGCAGCCATATTCACGTAACATGGAATACTTTATTCACGTAAAATGCATAAACAGTCATGAAATGATAACTTGCATTTATTGGATTATAATATTCACTCCAACCAAGCAGAGTGCACAATACATGACAATTGTGCCAAAAGAGAAGAAATGAATTGTTGATTTTGAACTGAAAATGCCATCAAACAAATCAACAGAATTTAACCATTTTATTCAAAGCAATCACTACAAGATAGTACAAAGTGGTTCTGTTTTGTGAATACCATTGAAACTGAATTAGAATTATTGTGTAATGACGTCCTTTATAACTGAATCTACGCTGATGAACAGTCATGCCAGTTCTACGGAACAACAGCCATTGAAACAACAGGATTATTCTTACGATGATGATTTGGTTATATCGAATAAGCATGCCTTGCACGCTTTACACAAGAGAGTGTTGCTAATAAAACAGTCCTTGACTGCTTTATCTACTCGGAATCATACCGGAATCATCAGAAATGTGTCTGATCGACCAGATGTGCGTTCTACCATTGCTTCTGGCTCTCAACTTCTTGGCAGGATTATGCGTTATATTCATCAACATGTTGCCAAGATTCCCCTAAGACAACTGCTGTCATATTCTGCTACTGCTCATTCCATCACACAGTTTGACCTGCAGCTGTCTGACTTTTCAAAGGTAAATCTAATCATGGAACACAGTGGTGGACTTTGACATGGTCGAAATACTATCGAGTCTTGTAATGTCCAGTATATTGATTTCATCGTATTTTTTGTGTAGATTGCTTTATCACCAGATTCCCCTTCTGGTCAGAGTGATGTTGCTACTGCCTTACAATTGGATGTGAATCAACTTCCTCTACTATTGGAACAAAACAGCTCGATACTCGAAGTTCGTAAACAGTTGAGTCAACCTTTACCATCACTGTGCTTATTACCAATCCAATTTTAATGAATTAGAAATACTTTACAAATAGATATGTTGAATCTCTGGTGGATATTGAACGTTGTCTGCTATTCGGTCTTGTAGATTTTCCTCCAGAGTCCAGATCTGCTATTCATGATATTCTCTCTCGTTTACAGGAATTTATTATTTCAAAATCCGGAAGAGTTGCGTATCCTGTTAAGCTTTGGTCGGTTGACAGCAGTTCTGTCTATATTGACTACAATGTCAAAATTGGCTTTAATCTCCTTGGTAAAGTCTTCAAGGGCGAATGTGGTGGTCGTGACGTGTGTGTTCAACTGATCTCTGGCATGCAAGGACAAGAATCATTCGATGTTTTGGCCAAAGAAGCTGAATCTTGGTTTTTACTGCATCATCCCAATATCGTCAAGATCTGGAGAATTTGTTTGAATACCGATGTCCCGTTTTTGATTATGCCACTAATGCATACAGATATTGCTGCATTTTTGAAACGCAATACCAAAACCAGTGTTGAGGTTCGTATTGGTTTTATTATTGGAATAGCTAAAGGGTTAAAGTATCTGCACAGTCTTCCTACTCCTATCATTCATGGCGATATCAAAGCAAGCAATGTTCTTTTTGGTAGGCTTGTTGAGCTATTTCTTAACAGTAAACTTGCTACCTTAATGGTCGAGTTTTTGTTTTTGATAAATGCAACTTACAAACTGTACATTCAATCTTTTTATTTGATGATTTAGGATTCGATGGAACTGTTGCTATTACTGATGTGGGCATGACAAAAATCAAGTCATTTTGCAATTCTGCTTCAGGAAGACGTGCAAGTTCCATTCGTTGGCTTTCTCCCGAAAGATACAAGAGAGGATATCAACTTGCTCAATCTTCAGACACGTTTGGATTTGCCATGACTTGTTGGGAAATAATAACTGGGCATGTTCCGTTTGCAGAAGAACGAGAGAATGACATTGTAAAGGATTGGATCAAGGACGGTGAAAGACCAGATAGGCCTGAGAATATTCCAGATGTTTTATGGGATGTTATAACCGATTGCTGGCATCAAGATCCAGAAATGCGTCCTTCGTTTGAAAATATTATGACTCGATTGTCTATTCTTTCATACTCCAAAGGTCCTGTCTCCGAGTCTCGGCCTGCTATGCTGCCTATTCCATCGACTATGCGCATGCAAATTAATTCCGATGCTAAACATGGTAACGCGCTGGATTGTTTGATATTCAAGTTTGCTGATGTTGTATGGATTATGTATTCAAGTGAATATTCAAACTTACTATTTGCTATTATTTTTCAAATTCAAAAGATACCAACAATACATTTTCACTTACATCGCCACTGTTTCCTCCTGCTGCTACTGTAAGCACTGGAGATGATGTGATCCCCCCAATGCCATCACATATTGAATCACATGGTAAATCTTTGAAATCCACCGAATTTTATTGTCCTGATTTTTCTGCAACTTCCACTCAATTGGGCAAATTAAAACTCAATCTTTAAACATATTAGAAATAGCAAACAAACCTGATGCCGAAGTTATCAAGCCCATTGCTGATCATGATGATGATGCTGATGTATCGTCTATAAAGAATACAAGCACTGGTGTCGAATTAGAAACAGACCAACAGTCTACGATCTCCAGATCGACTCCAATCAAATCTACACCCTCCACTTATAGTCGTAGACGTTCAAAACAACAAGTGGAAAAGACTCGAACTCCAACTAGTTTAAAACGCCCACTCACTAGCCCGTCACTTCCTCCTTCTCAAACAAAAGTGTCTCGTAGATCTTTGTCTGCTTTGGATAAAAGCACTAAAAAAGCACAAGATTTGTTGTTTGAAACTAATTCCAAAAAAGTCGCTTACGAACCCAAGTCAATTATTTACACTTTACCAGATGGCGGGGATTTGGAAGTTCGCGAGGGTCGTATCAGTGAAATCGAGTTTAAACATCTTTTGGATGCGTTTCCAAAGCTTACACACAAGCTCAAGCTCACCATGCAGAATTTCAATCGGTATGCTGGAGAAATGTCATATAGTACTTGGTCAGCATTTAACTCTGCTCAAAGACCCAGGATTGCTACTAATTCGGCTAAACGAGTGATTGCCTTGTGAGTTGGATTTTATGACAATTGTTGGCTTTATATCAAAAAAATATGATTCAAAATAGTCCAAGTTGACACTATTTGACTGTTTAGACGGTTTATTAAGGATGAAGCCAAGGGTGGATTTAATGGCGAAATCGACAAGTTGACCATGCTTGAAGGCTTGTAAGTTTACGATTTTCGATTGTTCATACTTGCTTGAAATCTCACTATTGGTGCATTTTTTCAATATTTTTCAATATCTAGACAGCTTGTGAGTAATCAGTATCCGACCAATATGATTCCCGATGAATTGTGCAGTTTGGTGCACCTCAAACAAATGTAAGCATGATTGGATCTTAATTTTGCTTTTTAAGCAATCTTTATAGTTTGCTTCTATGGTTTACTAAATGGAATTGATTTTATTATATACTTAGTTTCATTGATAATTGTGCAATGAATGGCGTGATTCCCTCCAAAATAGGAAACCTGACTGCTCTGATGGAAATGTATTGTATTTGCCATTTACTAGGCTGTTTGACATAAAAAGTATATACATTGATGGCTTATTAGTTTATTTCAATTGCACATGGTTTGATGTAAATAGGAGACTGACTCGTCTTAAACTCAGTGGAGACCTTCCTGTTTCATTGGGCAATTTGACCAATCTTACCATTCTGTAAGCTTTTCATTTATACTTTTTGTCGAGTTACAAGATTTCATTTTTCTTGACTAACAATTGTGTTTATATTTTGATGATTCTTGCCAAGTGATTTGCGATATAACGGATTTACGGGATGTATTCCACCTGCACTTGGAAATCTAACAAAATTGTCGAAGCTGTACGGTTTTATTGACACTGCAAGATATATGCATGACTACGCTTATTTTTACTAACAATACGGTTTAGAAATCTGTCTTACAATGCATTTACAGGATCAATTCCGCCCGAGATTGGAAATCTTGTCGAATTGGTTGAAATGTGTGTTGGGTTTGTTTATATTTTTGGGCAGCAGAATGATTGGGTTGAAGTTTCTAACTTGTTGTATGAACATGATATACTTTAGATGCATTTCTTCCTGTCGTTTGGAAGGAATTATTCCGTTGGAATTTGGAAACCTTGTCAATCTAGAAAAGCTGTGAGTTGACACATTTAACCTTTTACGACATCTTTTTGTTGGATTTGGCGACTAACTTTTTGTAGTGACTTGAGCCGTAACTATCTCAAGGGTCCAATCATTACTGAGCTATCCCAGTTGAAGAAAATCAAGTACCTGTAAGTCTTTGATACTGTCATGGAGTGTATGAAGCTTTTGTAATAATGATTGTATTGTCTTGATTAAGCATTATTTTTTACTGATTGGTTGCATTTTGTAGTGATCTTTGTATGAATTACTTTGATTTACCCATTGCAGATGAATTTTATTCGATTGATTTTTTCTGGATGTAAGTGATTTTGGTTATGCATTGGGTACTCATGGTCTTATTGCAGTGCTTTGACAATATTTGCCGTTTTGTATTGGTTCGCGATCAACATAGTCGTTACGATCAGCGCAAAGTCAGGACAGATGGAAAGTCCAGTAAATCTAATGATGCCAATGCAAATTCAGCAAACATGGCTGACACTTCATCATCAAAGCTCACTGATGAGGTTTCCGATACCGTTGAACTACCTATTTGCTCTAGCAAAGAGCCATCTGTATCTCCCGAGCCATCATCTATAGGATCGATTGCAAGAGTACTTGCTACGAAAGCCATTACTCATTTGAATTCCATCACAAAACAGTTTACACAAGAGATTCCACCAGGCGACGGTATGTACAATCCAGATCAGCCAGTCAAAAACTCTTGCAGCAGCGACGATTCAACCATTGTTGATTCGATTCAAAACTCAAAACAAATGATTTTGCTTGAAAAAAAACAAGTTGATTCTGGCATTTCAGATGAGAATGCTCACGATGTAGCTGCGACTTTGCTCACCAAAAGCCAAGAGTCGTGTTGATAATCTTGTATTGATTCTTGGATGACTATCGACCATGGTGCTCACTGTATTAACTATTATTGAGTCAATATTCTATGCATGCGTCAACCGGATATTAACGGTTTATGAACTTTGACTCTTATCTAATGCTCTACTTTGCGTGAATATAGCGGTAAACCATCATTTTCCAGCAATAAAATTGTATTTGATAATCAAGCCATTGCAGCACGATCTAATGTTCTTGCAGAAACGTAACAAGTATTTTGTATGACATACACATTGAATAATCCATTGAATTGATGATTGACTCGATATGACAACGCATGCATTCATAACAACTAAAGTGTGATTTGCAAGTAGAAATCGCTAGTTTTAACTTTGAATTCAACGGCTGAATCAATATTTTGTACAGCTATTCAAGAACCAAAACTAAATACAATGAATGCGTTTGTGTCAGCATTATCTACGACTGAAACAGTGACTCAACAGCAGAGAGAGATAGTTGAATCCTCGTTGAAGCAGTTTATAACGGAATACTCGGATACTCTGACTGTTGTGTCTGCGGGGATTACCACAGAATCTATAAAGAAAGTATGGATAGATTCACTACTAAAGTTATTGGATTCTGACCCCACCAATGCATGGTCTCTTGATGGTAAGCAAAGCTACACACCAACAACACATACTGTTATTGATCATCAATACGTTTAATTACTTTAGTGACAGCACTGGGACTGCAGGTGTTGAGGATTCTGTTGCGAGAGAGTTGTGGGTGTGATGCAGTTTATACTGAAAAGGTATTTTATACCGACATGTGTTGTGTATATACAAGCTGTTTAACCAGTGCGTCTATCAGGTCATGCATTTAATGGCAACGCATGCTCATCTGAACTCGGTCATGTCTGACTCGTCAATTCCATTTTATCAAGATCGAGTAGCCATCGAGGCATTAAAGTGTCTGTCCAACATGTTGCTACAAAATCCTTCTATTCGACAGCTGTTTTCTGCCTCGGATTTAGTTGCTGCAGCTGCAAAATCTCTCGAGGTATAGTTTGACTACATTGATTTATCTTGTTGTAGATGTGCAAGACTAACTTTGGATCTTGTCATCTACGAATATAGATCCAATCACTTGACATGGGTACAGTGTTTTTACTATCAAGATTGATTTTTCTTGGGACTGTTGAAAGCAAAGCTGTAGCAACATCACTCGTATCTTTGGGGATTTGTGATAGCCTTGCACACGTAAGTCGTGTTTATCCAACTTGCTTATAGTGCAATCTGAATGCTAACCCAAACCGTAATTTCCATTTAATTTGTATTGGAATGTTGCAGTATCTGGATAACATTACCAAAGGAAAGCTTTTGCTCGGTGCAACAGAGACATGGATTAGCATTCCAGTTACAGTCAATGAGATTCTTAAAACAGGGTTTAGTCTATCTGTTCCTATATCTGAATCCTACATGACCAATACATCGTCAATGCCCGTGCTATTTGGTGGAACAAAATCACTTGGAGATGCATTGAGTGACCACGCAGCTCGAGATGAACTAGGAAAATCATTTACACTGTATGTATCTTGTAGATCTACACCCTATTGGTTTATAGAATTTAACACCTGTGTACTATTGATTTAATAATGCTAGGCTTCTTGCAGCAACGATTGAAATATTTACTAAAACACCGCTGAACCCTATACCACTGACACCCCCACATAGTCACGCTATCAACATGATGATGAACCTTCCGGTCAAATCCCTTTCAAAAACATGGTTCTTTGAAGACGATTACAGCATTGTATACAAGAGTGTTGATATTCTGACCACAACACTATGCACTGTTTTTCCTCAACGTGCCAATATAAATAGTGGAAAGGGGAGAAAGGAATATGAGGATGAGGAAGAGTATTTGGCAGAAATTGATGGAACCAATGTGGATCAAGCTATTCCGCCTCTTTTGATTTTGATGAGAAGTTGGGCCAAAGGAGATGATGGTGCATGTCAAATACTAAAAAAGCTGTTGATGCCCAAGAATATGTAAGTAAAACGGATGAAAGAGTAGTTGAATGGTAGTGTACTAACGTACGATTGGTGGTTTATTATCATTGTAATCTAGCGATCGATCCAAGCCATTACATCATGGAACCACTGTGACAAATTACATGATATGGCTTATGATGACAGTAACGATGCTACAAATCCGAGACTGTGTTTCGGAACTCCTATTTGCGGTTTGTAAAGAAAGCAGTTGAGTGGATTGTAACATGACTTTAGAATTGATACATTTTATTGACATTATGTTGATTGATTTTTAAAAGTGGATGAATTGGTAGCGTATGTAGGCTATGGTAACGCAGCAGGATTTTTGATGAACAAGGGATTACTAGGATCAACACCATCGCAGTCGAAACCATCACAAGAAGAAAGTGTAGCAGATGATCAAGCAAAGATCAATCCGATCACAGGAGAGTATATCAAACCAGAAGACGAACACAATGAAGCTTTAGAGAATATGACTGAAGAAGAGCGCGAACGCGAGACGGAGAAATTGATGGTGTTGATTAGCCGACTGGAGAAGAACGGAGCGATTCAAGTTGTTCGCAAGAACGAAGCATAAATGAAAGAAATTTGTTTGACAAACTCCGACAGTTGTCAAGACTGAATTGTGAATAGCATTTGACTGACTACAATGGTAGATCTTCTGAATGAATCCTCAGACTCAATTGTATTGATTGGAACCACTCGTTCAGCTGCATCAGGACGCATGCTAACCTGCAGCAACAGAGTTGAATGTGTTTTATCTCTTCGACTGCTTCGTCAGTTTCCAGAGTCTGTTTTGATTCAGATGTTTCCTAAAGGAATCTCTCCTTCTTCTGTTCTGACACTGGCCGAGTTAGATCTGATTAGACCGTCTCTTGAGATTCGACTTCGTTTGATTCAAGAGAATCGTCATCGCATTGGTAACAATCTCATTGTCCAGAGTGAGGATCCTACAGAGAGTGTGTACTATTCTTGTCTTGATGAGTCGAATAACTCGAGTTATATCACTCCTACACTGCTCAAGAAAGATACTCTTCCACTACATCAACCTACTACTATCACTACCTGTCATGCTCTTAATTCACAACCCTCGTTTGCATCAATATCCACCAACCCTTCGTTTTACTCCGAATCCACTGACAACTCTTACTCAAGCGATACCACTCAGCATCCGTCTCATAATTGTACACCTGTCTCATCTGCTCATACCAAGACTGAAACTCTGCATCATCTTCAACTGTCTCTGTCAAAACACACTTGGAAATCCATTGACCAAATACTATTGTTTTTGAATATTCATGCCATGTTCGAATGTCAAGCTGTGGGGTTAAATTTCGCAGAAGGATCCTCGACCGCAAAAGCTCGCATCGCCAGCATTCGTCATAAAAAGATGCTGTATTTGGGCGTAGATATGCATCTGCTCAAGTGCTTTGCTCAATATTTTGGTGCTCATATAAACGATAAATCTCTTTGCGGTTCTGCTAGTACGACCATTTTCGAAAAGACAGTTTCCGATCCTCCTCCCACTGTAAGTTTATTGATACGTACACCTGATCTGCTCGATACTAATTGTTTTTGCATTACAGATTTCAACACACTTTAATTTACATTGTGATGCATCACGTACTTCAGCACACATTTATGAACAGATTGATCCTTACTTTATTATTGATATGGATCAATCACCCCTTTCACCTACTCATACTTCCAACTCAATTGGTGATATCAAAATCAAGTGTTTGCAAAGACTCATGGATGAGCTAAGTATGATAGATAGTGGGTTTACCACACCCACTACTCACAATCGGTCCTGTCGGCATATTGTCATAAACTCTCTTGGCAGCGAGATAGAGTTGAAGAAAACCCAGTGGATGTATCGACATGTTGACCCAAATGGATTTCATATCCACTCTCATGCATTGTTTTCAGTAGATAATATGTCTCTACAATCCTGTTCTTCTAACCGTATTCGTGATGATGACTCTACTCGAAATGCAAATGTTGAATTGAACGAAAAGCGTGTCGAGCCTCCATTGGATATCATCAAACAGGCTGAACCCAATGGTTCAAACAAGATGCGACTCCATGATCCAGAAAACACAAGGAATAGTACAGAGTTGTTGATTGCTGCACGGGAATCAGCCCAAGTCAGTTGGTGGGAACATCGAACGATTCGTATGGATTATCCAGTAGATAGGGTGAATCCCCTGTCACCAACCAGCACGCTTGCTGATACTAGACCAAATCAAGAAACTCCCTTTGAAAAAAGAACATCATTACCCATATCCCAAGGACATCCAAATGAAGCACTACACCAACACACTCGAACCGTTTCAGCAACTCCATCACCATATAACCACAACCATGGTACCAACACACAATCAGTTGGAACAATATCAGGGCAATCCAGAATAAACAGCATGCCAGCAATAACAACTGGAAATACATGGCTGCAACTGCCTTGTGGATCCGAGCCTTTAAAACCTGAATCGGCAGTAACAAAACAGGTAACGCGACTGGTGAACGAACTACAGTTTTGGAAAAAGTCACCAGGCCCATTACTTCGCATGCCCGCTCATACTACCAAGAATAGAGGAGTAAGAATGCAAGAGCCAGTCCAAACTATTGAAGAGTATCGATCATTATCTACCACTCCGATGATACAGGAACCCGCTACGATGGAGATTGTAGTTAAACTGTGGATAAGGAGAACATGGTGGATAGATTTCTGCAACTTTCCTGATAAAACTTAATAAAAATGTATCAAGACTGGCATTTATAGTGTTTATAAATGGAATTTCAGACTAGTTTGACATTCCAAGCAAAATCAACGACAAATGGATAAAGAAACGGACATTGAAAGTGTTGCTACAGCGAGCAGTCATTCACAGTCATTCAACTCGCATACTTCTGCTGCTAGTGCTGCTGCTCGTCTTAAAAGACCTTCCATTTCCCCAGCAATCACTGCTCAAACCATTGATGCGAGCTCATCCACGCCCACTATTCAGTTGTATAATAATAAACTGTTGCATCCACCCAGCATTACACCATTGAATCCACTTAGAGCCAGAGCCATGTCTTCTTCTGGTCATAGTTTAAACTCGAAAGCAATTCCTCAGAGGCGACAGCAGCACTTGCAACGACCACAATCTGAACTGATTTTACAATTTCCGCATCAACCACACGAAGCATCTGCTGGTCATACTGGATCTGCTGTTGATAATGTGGATAACACTCGTTCTAGAAGTAAAACTGATCCTCCCTTTCGCTCACTGGGTGATATTCTTGGATCAGTTTCGGATAGCGATCCTCAACTCATCCACCACATGATGGCTACTATTGCTGTTTCTCCTAATTTATCCCATTTGACCAATTCACATGAAAATATTATGCATTCATCTACTTCTGCTCCAGCTCTTCTCAGTGCTCACGATCCAACCCGTTTGCAATCATTACGGAGTCAAACGCTTGTGGATCCCGCATCTGGTACGCATGCTTCAGCTGATTCGATTCATCTTCGATCCAATACAAATTTGAGTTCAAATCCAAGACGACCCAAAGGAAATATGTATTCAAGATCTCGTTCTTCTGTACGGGTTCCTTCTCCAAATTTATCCTTACGTGCTGATACATCCGCATTGATTCCAACCATAACCAATACATCTGTTCCACGATCATCAATTATAGGTCGCTCACGATCATCATCTAGGCAGAACTCGGGTGGAAAGGAAACGGCACTCAATCCAACTGTGTCGCATATATTGGACAGATTAGCTATACAGGCAAATACATTGACATCTTCATCAACTGTCGCATCGGGTCAGCCATCCGAAATAAGTGCAATTCGAGGTGTTTCAAAACAAACTTTGGCAAGACTGGATCATATGCGTGATGAAATATCTGATCGATATCGATTGATTTTCAGTGCTTGTACTTTGTCACATACTTCAGTCTATGCACATTCTACGCATGCTTCCGATTCCACTGCTTCTGTTTTGGATTCAGCAGCACATGCTGAAAAAGGCTATAATCCTCTCAAGGTTATCCGATGGCGTCGGTCTAAATGGAAACAAGCTGTCTTGGAAAGTACTTCTCCTGGATTTTCTAATGATCAACCTACCCAATCCGTCATGGGCGTAAAACAATCTTCTGTAACGTCCAACTGGCTGGTAACAAATGATGAACTGGCAGAATATCTCGTGTCTTCTAAATTCAACGTAAGTCTGTTGCGTCATATTGACATCCAGATGGAATTTATAATTGACAAATTGCTTTATATTTTAATGGTTTTGTAGAATGATTCTGGAAATAGAGGACTAATGCTAGTAGATGATCCAGAAACCCTCGAGTTGGGAAACAATCTCTTGATGGAGTTTCTATCCAATACAAGTCCTACTGCTCCGCTTTCGGCTTCTACTTACTCTGCTAAACCATCGTTTGCAAGTAGAAATAATAGTATCATGTTGCCTAGTGAGCCACAGTCAACCCATACATCGCCTGCGAGGAATTCTATTTTGCATCCGCCGGATATTACATACCCTTTGGCATCTCGTCCATCTGGCAATGGAGAGTTACCAGCTGTTGATATTCTAATATCTACAACCAAAAATTCAACTGATTCTCTGCCAATACAACCAAGTCCTGTTCTACTAGAATCAAATCTGCTACTTCCAAGCGATTGTAATACAAGACCTTTATCCACAGCCAGCAGCAGTTTTACTCAGCCTGAATTATTAAAAATAGACTCGGTAACACCGTGGGAGTTACAACAGCCGCCGTCATTGGCACAACAGCAGATCCAGCCTGCAACTGTTGCGGTGCAGGCAAAGAGTGATGCAGGAGGAAAGCATTCGAGAGTGTCAAGTTTCCGCGGTGTACCAGACTGGTTAACCTCTGGATTAAGATCTGTTGGATCATCTGCTCATCCGCTTTCTGGTGGTGTGAATGCATCGATAGAAAAGCATCGACGTGCTGAATCCACCTCTAGTCAGCGTCTTAATGCCATCATGATGGATAAACCTTTGGATGCGCCTAGCCCGACTACCAGTGCACATGGGTCAAGTGGGAGAAGATTAAGAAGGCTTGGTCAGCCACGTGCAGGTCAAGACATGACTGCTAATGAAGGGGATGCTGGCGGTTCAATATTTGATGGGTTGAGTTTAAGTAGTGGCAGTCAGAATGGTACTAAACGCGGAGGTCATCGGAGATATGCTTCTTTGGCTGGTGGGAATTTGAATTCAAAAGCTTTGGAAGATGGATCGGCATTTAAATTAGAAGCATGGGATGTGTCTAAATCTGCACAATCTTCATCGTTTAATGGTCGCGTACTGAGTGATCATCAGTTACGTCCTGCAAAATTGTCACAATCCAGTAAGCGAATTTGCTTTACCGACAATATTCACGTTTTTCAAATACTAATTGTCCTGCATTCATGATTGATTAGTGTTGATTTATTCTGCATCCAAGCGACTTCAGCCCAATGTGTCACTTGTGAAATCACGTTTACATATAAATAAGCGGCCTGATTTAATTCGGCGCTTGCCTATGTTTAAAGGAGAACAACTTTTGATTGACAAATTCCAATCTGTACTGGAAGCATCCAAAAAGGACATTTTATCAAGCAAGGGGTTTTCACAGCATATCAAGGTGAGTGTTTTACTCGTTTGGATAGACTTTGGCTTATATCGGAGTAACTAAATGCATTTTGCTGATTTTGGTACATACAGGAGCTTGTCAAGACTCAAAAAGAATTGATGGAGTCGATTCGTGTCATGAATCCATCATATGATTCTAAACCCGATGTTGGTAAAACCACTCAATCACCGCTGAGTACGTTTTGGCGTAAATCCACTCGATGAACTAGACCCATAGCTAATGATGTGACTAAACAATTAGGTGTATCGATATTAAAGCTGGGCACATTTGAATCGACACTAGAAGCATGTACACGGATGAGAATGTACATTCAAAAAAATCTTTCATATGCCGAACACAATCGATCTCAATATCTCAAGTAAGCATATATATTTAAATAATGACCGTGTTTTAAATGATGTAACTGAATGGTGTGTTTGAATGAAGGATGGACATCAAACTATCTAGTTTACAGCAACGTGTTGAAAGAGAATCGCTGCGTTTGGTGACGATCAGCAGCAATCATTCTGGATTGGTGACTGAAGGAATGCGGCATCAAGCAAACGGCAATCGATATAATAAATCAGCCACATTGCATTCGACAACATCAAGCTCAAAACCCAAAGCAGGCATGCCTACTGTCAATGGATCCACACCATTGGATAGAACTGATGTGCAGGTAAAAAAACATCACAGTAGCTTATTAGCGGCTGTACGTGGTAGCAAAAGTCAAGATTTAAGCGATGAATCAAGTGATTCATGCTCGAATGCCTCTGATTCGCAACACTTTGGCGTCAAAGATGGCATTGAATATACCCAAGGTTCGCATCGTATGAATCATCACAAAGGCTCACTTGGTGGAATAGGAGCTACCGGTAGTAATGGATCGGGCATACATCTTTCGTGGCAAACACAGTTGGGATATGCACTGTTTGCATATGTGTTGAATATTTTGGCTTTTATATTCTGGGGTGTTTATATGCTATGGCGAGCTGTAACCATGGTGTTTTGTTGTGGATGGTGTAATCGGAATCGGCACAACAACGGTCCACAAACAACAGGAAAAACTACAAGTTCTACTGCCTCGACTGTTCCCAGTGCAAATAAGAAATTCAATCGGAACTCTGCGCGTAGAGCATCGTTGACAACATCAACTCCAGTCAAGACACCACGTATAGTAGAATCGACTCCACAATGAGATATAATTGTATTGATATATAAATTGGATTTAGATTTGTTTAGCCCACTATGACAGGTGATAAAGGGGATGAGAATGGAGAGAGAAATAAAGAATTGGGAGTTATTACCATCAGTGTATATCATGTATTTGAAGAGTGCTCGCGTAGATGTTATTCAACCACACTTTGTGATTAGATCTGGTTATTACTTTTGTGACTCTCATCACTATCTGTGTGTGTATCCGTTGACAAGAGGATTTTGAAAGGATAGATTTCTGATACTGCAACTTGCTCTTTTCCCTCAGTTAGCGCATCAAAACAGCATTTACTCCAGCAATGCTCGTCTGTCCAAGTTGGTTTGTTCATCAAGTATGCGCTTGATTGTAAATGTTGCAGTATGACAGTATGAATTATGCGAAAAGGAACCATATACAAGGATCATCTGTAAACGATCGTATGGTTTTGGTTGCACATACAGATTGCAAGTATTCATACGACTACTGTTAATGACAATACAACTCTGTTTTGATTATATTCTTAAATGTACACAATGAATGTTGCGATTATCAAAAGACTGGCGAGTATGTTGCTCAACTGTTGCTGATTCAAACCTATTGCTCATTCTATTGCGCAACCCATCAACTGGAAAGTATTTCATATACAATGTATCGAGTCAACACACATGACACTATCCATCTGCTCGAGTTTCTTGACGAGTGTGTTTACAGGATCAACTTACCATTTTAAGATGAAAGCGACTGAACAAACAGCCGAATCCAGTTGTATGCGCCATATTTGAGCAATTCAAAGGACGCGAGCGCTGATTCTCCCGCCATGTCAATCAACAAAAGCCAATATTTGCAAAACAATAACACAAACTCATGTCAGTAGACTGACAACAGATGCGTTTAATGTATGCAAAACAACAGACGGAAAGCATTTCAGTTGATGAATCATTTGATACTTGTGGATCAAGAACACACTATTGAGGTTGATACTGAGGTTTGATCATGTTAGATTATTTGCTACAAGGGATGTTGCATTGCCATGTAGGACGGCATCAGCAGTTGTAAAAGGATTGAAATTTGACAGTATCAAGACAGTGACAGCAGCAAGAGTAGAAACTCACTCAAGAGATGATCAAGCGATGAACAATTCCAACAACTCGACTCATTCAAGAATGCCGTGTCGCTTGACTACACCGTTCTATCACACACAAGTCAGCTGTACGTGAAGCCTCTCGAGTAATTTATGAATTAAAGCTGCTTGAGTGGAGAATACAGCTCGAGAAAGCCAAGTGGCTTGCAATAATGAAGGGATTTGACGAGTTAAAAAGGGAGTGCTGTGTAGATTGAATCGATATAAGAATCAGCCATGCGGAATGGTCGCACAATCGCAACTATTTAATAATTTAATTGTTTCAAGAGATGTGAGTGTTGCAAGTGCTTGTGTTGGGATGGATTTTTACTAATTTTAATTCCTCCCTTCAACTCAACAACTTGATTACAGGAACGCCATGTCATCTTACTGGCCATCTGCTCTTCTGGGCGGGGCGCCCAACGATACTATTGCTCGTTACTCAAAAAAGAACGTTGCTGTAAATGGACCAAAAGGCAATGGCAACTTTGTACTGACTCTCCCTGTTTCTAAACAACTTCTCAAGGATGCCGCTTACCAGACTGGTGAAGAGTTTACTCATTTGAGGTACTTTAACTTGCATTGATGTTTCAACGCTTGTTGATGGCTTGGGAATAGTGGCGTCAGTCTTGCTGTGATTGTGGGAATCGTTGAGTTTGGGGTGGATTGTCTGGCTTTTGCTCACTGAGCATTCAGTCTTATGAGATGGTCAAACCTACATGAATGCTCTTGTCTGTATGTCTTGTCATGGCTATCTTGACCATACACAGCCACGAGAGTTTCATTAAGACCCTGAAACTCATTGGCGTATTCATGTAAATCGGACCACTTGTATTAATCTTGTAGATGGCTTGAACATACCCAATGCTTCAAGTGTTTCCTACTACAAATTGAATTGACTCTCAATGTCCATCCTATGATACACTTGACCCAACTTGTGGTCTAGTTATCTTTTGGTAATCATACATTGTACAATCACCAAGTTTAAACCCAGATATTAGGTTCAACTGATATCAATACAACCCTTGCACTATAATCTCATGCATTCGCGTTCTAGAAACAATGGTATCTCTGTAATGCAACTGTTGTTTCTGTACCCGTCAACTAAAGAGTTGACAAGGCTGGCCGTTTATTGTACATTGACACCCTTAATATTCTACTCTACTTCAATACGGCTGTAATGCTGACAACTTTCATTTTTGACTTTTCTATTCTATAGCTATACCGCAGTCACTTGTGACCCTGACGAGTTTCCAAAAAAATATGACTTGCGTCCTCGCCGCTACAACCGTCAGATCAAGATTGCATTGGTTGTTACCATGTATAATGAGGATGACAATCTGTTTATTAAATCTATTCTTGCTGCCCAAAAAAATATTGCCTATCTTTGCTCTGACCAATGCCCTTACTCTTGGGGTCAGGACGGTTGGAGAAACTTTGTTATTTGTATTGTATCGGATGGTCGCACAAAGATCAACCCTCGTGTCCTTACTGTCTTGGGTGTCATGGGCTGCTATATGGACGGTCTTCCTCGCTCCTCTGTCAACGGTGATCCCGTTACTGGCCATATTTTCGAATTCACGACCCAGATCGCTGTCGATAGAGATATGGCTGTTCGCACTAGAAAGATGGGCATTTTCCCCACCCAAATAATCTTTGTCCTAAAGGAAAAGAATGCCAAAAAGGTGATTTACTTTTTATTGTTGGCGTGTTGGATTTTATACTGATTACTAATCTAAAATGTTTAGATCAATTCCCACAAATGGTTTTTTAATGCCGTCTGCGAGGTCATTGCTCCCGAAGTTACAATGTTGCTCGATGTCGGTACTAAACCTTCGGCAGTATCTTTTTACCACCTATACCGCTCGTTTGAGCGTGATCCTCGTATCGGTGGTGCTTGTGGTGAAATTGCTGCCGAATTGGGAGCCAGTTGTACCAATTTGCTTAATCCTTTGGTCGCTACTCAAAACTTTGAATATAAAATGTCCAACATTCTTGACAAACCGCTTGAATCAGTATTTGGTTACATTTCCGTACTTCCTGGTGCCTTTTCTGCCTACCGTTACAAAGCCCTACAGGGTGAGCCATTGTACAAATACTTCCTTGGCGAGAAACCTGGCGCAGATATCTTTACATCCAACTTGTACTTGGCTGAGGATCGTATTCTGTGCTTTGAGCTGATTACCAAAAAGCATGAAGCCTGGCGTCTAAAGTATGTCAAATCTGCCGTTGCCGAAACAGATGTTCCCAGCACGCTTCCTGAATTGATCTCGCAGCGTCGTCGTTGGCTCAATGGATCTTTCTTTGCTTCGGTTCATGCTCTTACTCACTACACTCAAATCTTCCAATCCCCTCATTCCTTTTTCCAAAAGTTTGTTTTCACGCTTCAATTCATATACAACGCCGTCAGTCTTGCATTCAGTTGGATTTCTCTTGCCAATTTCTATCTTGCCTTTTACTTTTTATTCAAAGTGTCCAATACTGTTAATCCTAACTCTCTTCCATTTGGCACACAGTCTGAAATTGTTGATCTTGTTATGCGTGAACTTTATATTTTCTCCATTATTGCCATTTTCATTTCTTCGCTCTCTAACCGTCCTCAAGGATCAAAATGGCTATACTATGGTCTATCTGTTCTTTTCTCTATAATTATGTCTATGATGTTGTTTATGGGTGTTTGGTCGATTTACCAGGCTGTCGTTAATTTCAAAAATCGTGGCATTACATCCTCTGGCAGACAGGAGACTCCGTTTGAATACTTCCGCACCACCACTGTATTTAGAGATCTTGTTGTTTCCATCATGTCGACCTATGGTCTCTACTTTGTTGCTTCGATTATTCATCTTGATCCGTGGCACTGTATTACTTCCATGATCCAATATTTGCTGATTTTGCCAACCTACAACAACATCTTTATGATTTATGCCTGTAAGTTTGATGACTTGATCTATTGCTGACATGAGCCTATACAGTTTCTAATTATTTTTCTAGTCTGTAATTTGCATGATGTCTCGTGGGGCACCAAGGGTGATAACGCGGTTGTTGATGACAAGCCTGCCGTTGTCCAAAAAACCGCTAACGGTGAGCAAGTCTTTGAAGTTGAGATTCCATCCGAGGAGCAGGACATTGATGCAGCATGGGCAGCTCATATCAAACAGCTGGCTTCAAACCGTGCCAATCCGGAAGTCCAGAACAGCAAGCGTGACGTAAAAACCAAATCTGAAGATGTCTGCAAGGAGTTCCGTACTCGTGTTGTTCTTTCCTGGATCATTACCAACTCGCTAATCATTGCACTCTTTACCAACGATGCCTTTATCAACCATGTATTTAAACCCAGTCCTGAAAACTCGGTTAATCCATACCTGACATTTATATTCTGGTCGGTTGCTGTTTTGAGTGCTATCCGATTCATTGGATGCTGTGTGTATATGGTTATCTGGTGGGGTGAGAAACTCTCTGGAGCTGCTAGAGGCGGTAGTCGCAAGGTTCATGCTTAATATCAAGCCTTTTAAAGGGGTTAAATGTCATCTTACCCATTCCTATACTTTCATTTTGAACATTTGATATCTTTCTTGTCATGGCTGTATTTGCCTTGTGAAAATGAAGGTGCTTTTTGTTACCATGTCGACTATATATATTTTATGCTTGAAATTGTCTATTCAGCTGCAATAGATTGATGGATGACATGTAATTTAGAGTTTGGCTATCCGATTGAGCAGTAATCACCCGTGCATTGCTCTCGTTCGCTTTTTGAATTCTAAAGGGGTTTCAAACTGGTCTCCACTTTTCCACAGTCCTCTTCGCATTGCCCTAAAGTAAAAATTGTGTGCTTTAGTCTTTTGAAATAAATAAGACACATGGAGCAAATAATTACTTGGCAGTTTGTTCAACCCGATTAAACTGTGTTGGGTTGCCACCATACTGTGCACCAGTCGCTCGATACATGACAGCTAAACCTCTTCTTAGCATTTCAATTGAAACGTTACGTGTTGGTAGGACAGGCCACCATGCAGGATTGACCCACACCATTCCAATCTAAAACATAACGTATCAACACCATTTTAAATCCTAACGAGATGTTACGACGGATCAAACAACTCAACTAGTCGATTGTATTGGTCGCGACGTAGAAGCTGAACACGAACAATTCGGCCATTCAAATAGCTTCCAAGCCACGATTTGGCTATTTGAGCAAAGGGTTGATCTGGTTGACCAAAACAAGCACTCTAAATCGATGGGTTTGGATGAGTCGGGGGTGAGTGTTTGAACATGATGAAATACTACGATTACCTCGGGTGCATCGATGCCTGCTAAACGAATATACAACGTTTCTTTTGGATCTCCAGCTTGTGCTGGTTGACACCACCGTTCCAGCATAGGCAAATGAGTCTATTTGGATACAACTCGACCGTTTACAGTCAATTCCTTTTTGTCCAACACGACAAACAACTAGAATGTTGAACAACTCAACTATGCGTATACCGTCACCATCCACTGCTCGGACTACTCGCCCATATATTATTTTTCGAGTTTTTATCCAATGTATAGGAACTTGATTGTTGTCGGTAAATGTGCGAAACATGTAGTCGTGAAGAATCCATCGTGTCAAGACCAGTAAAACCAATGTGAGTACTTGCGAGTATGGGTCTTGCATCCTGTTGATTTTACAAGGTTGAATAGTGCAAGTTGAATGAATAGAACAACCCAACAGTTGATGAGTACAAATGAGAATGTTTAAAACTTATCCAGATCTAATTGTTCAATATGTATGGATATCCACACTAGTTGTGTTTCTATTCAACTTTTAAATTTGTAGTCTATGAATTTACGCCATATTCGCGCAGTATTTTGTATTATCTTGCATTGATTGCCTTTTTGAAATAGACAATAACTATTCGTTTTGCTTTTTTTGTTGGGTATTGACTGTTGTTCAATCAACACAATGTCCATCGTATGATTCACAAAATTATAATTTTAAACGTGCTCCTTGGCAATCTCTAATATAACCATACATGGTACGATTAACAAGTTTGAAACCAGATATTAGATTCAATTCGTTTCAATCAAACCCATCCTTGCTGTATTTTAATCTTACGGATACACTCGTCATCTAGTTTAAGAGATCGTGTTTTGGGAATGCAACTGTTGTTTCCATGCCGATCATCAAAAGATTGGTCGACTAGAGTTTACAAAACAATGCTGTCCAGTGAATTGACATTCATTATTTGATGATACTGGCAGTTTATTATACACTAACATCCTTGTCTAATCATCCATTTTATATGAATACGATGATGGCATTCAACCTTTAGGACTTGACAGTTGGTTTGGTTTTCATCCAAAACTCGAGGTTATTTGCTCTCATAAACCGAGCAACGGATGGAGTCAAAAACATGGTCAACCCAGCTCTCAACGGGAAAATAATCTTGTGTCCAGTCATGGCAACAAGCAAGGTTGTCCCAACTGTTGTATACCAATCCGATGTACAAGGTTCAGTTGAAGACATGTCAGTATACAAAGGCTGATCATCAGATTGGGATGTAGTCGATGCCCACCACTGTTTCAAATCATTCATTTTGGATGTTATGGGAGTTACATCCACACCAAAATAGATGGCTGCAACCCTGTTTCCACAGTATACAAGTCATCATATAGATGAAGAATATGCAACACAAATCGTTTAACGGTGCGTTAGTGATTTAGATCGAATATTGCAATTCATCTCAATATGAATGGCAGATCTGTATTTACCAGCTTGGATATGAAACAAGCGATATACTTGAATATGTAATGAATCCAACTGGTCCATATTCCTTGAACACATGCTTTAACCCACGTGCTGGGACTGTAGCACTTGGTTGGCTAGGTGCATCGATAGAGTTGCTGGTCGTCAAACTGCGAGATGAATGGTTTCTCTGTCGCAATGCAAACCAAGTCTTGTCGATATACATCCTAATACCAAGTATTGAATTGGTTTAAATTCACTCCAGTTTCATAGTGCCAATTCGTTCAAATACCACACACATTCATATGATGTGAACATGGTAATTCATCCAAACAGCATTACCTTGTAAATAAACTCATTTTCCTTATTGTAATGACGAATGCTGGCTTTGACTTGTTGGATGAACTTGCAAGTGTAAACCAATCGATTTCAAGAAAGCAACAAAGCTTTTTTCAGCCAAAAACAGCTCAAAGAATTCCAAGTTCATGTTACGATTGTTTTAAAAATCAGTCTAGACAAGTGACAGTAGCATTTAATGCATGGCAAGAGTAGAAATAGTGTTCATTTGTTGGGAATACAATAAATCAATTCAAACATGTTTTGGTTGAAAATATAATGATTTAGAAAAAGTTTAATTCAGTCACACGACGTATTCCAAACCGTTGAATGGTTATTTGCTTGGATAGCAAGTGATTCTCTTTCAAATCTCTAAAAGAAATGAGTTTTTAAAAGCAACCGAAATGACGGAAAATATCAGTATGTCAAACAAATTGCCATTAAAAGTATAGTGGCTTGACAAAAATAAATGTTTATTTTGGACCATTGCGTCAAGCAAGAATACCATCAAGCGATTGTTGAGCTATAGCAACAATATCATGCGCAGGAGATCTGACAACAATTTGCACATCACCCAGTACATCCTCTTGTATCTGTAGTGCAAGCATTGAGTTTGTGCAGGTCTTTGCAAGTGCTTGAATCATCTAATTTCACAAAAATGTTAATCCTAATCTACACCAACCATCATAACGACATTAAATACAAATCATTACCTGTTGGGTTTGGCTCACAATACTAAATCCATTTTGTTGAAGCTTACTAGCCATGTCATTCATATTACCACTAGCACGCGTAAATGTCTTTTCACCACCGCTAGCACTATTCCACACGGAATTGAATGCAATGGGCGAGGAATCGGAAACTGCAATCAACACTACATGCAGAGGCACGTACGTCTGCATATAAAATACGCCGCAGTTGTTTTTGACAGCAATTTGAACAAGATTAGCAGGATCAGTTTTTTGTGTATTTCCTGTAGTGCCGAGTGACAGAGAAATTGAGGCTACTGCTCCCGGTGCTAGAGGCTCCGGAACTGTGAGTGCAGCCAGTGGGGTGATTCCAAACATATTAACATTGAATTGAATCGCAAACTCTGACATGGGTCCAGCAGATGCATTGGAGAAGCTCAAGTCTAAAAATAAAGCACCATTTCTAAACAATTGATTCAGTCAAGCATTCAATACCAAGTTGTATAGTTTTTGATGCAATCGATTAAACATTTTTTGCTATTTACCTGTGTGCAAAGGTGCCGCTAAGATCAAGCCCTTGGGAGGTGCTGGCAGATAACATCACTGTCTTGGGAAATACATATCGAGGTCCAGAATTTGTACGACCAGGAGAGCCCATTTTATCAAGCCCAAATGCACCGTCATTCATGGGAGAGGGTGCAACAGGCGACATATCCATATCCAGTGAGAGTAAATCAGTAATACCACGACGATCAAGAGTTGTAGCATTCGCACCAGAAGCGACTAGATTGGGTTGAATCACCGGAGTACTAAAATCCAGATCAAGCAAATTCCCAATCATACTTGTGTCATCCATAGCCTGAACAGCTTGTTGTACAGCGCTCCGACGTAAATCAGACTCATCTTCGCCGTCAGCAAAGTCTTGTCGATACTGTGCTAAATCTACCAACGAAGCTCCTCCAAGCAATGCAGGCGATTTGTGATACACTGAAGCAAGAGAAGAGATATTTAAAATCAACTCATCCAACAACCCTTCACTAACCGTTCCTGTATTCGACTCAATAGGTGGTTTTTCAGCCAATACCACTGCTTTGGCTGCCTGAGGGTTGGAGGACAATAGTCGCCAGTACACGTATGCACGATCACGGATATCTGGGTTATCATTGACTTGAGTAGATGTTTGCAGTACGCGCTGAACAAGATTCTGAGCCGAGCCTGGCCGTTTTAAAAATAGTTTCACAGTGGCTGTAATCAACTGCAGCTGCACTTTGGATGCCTCATCCTTGAAACTCTCCAAAAAGTGCTCAAGAAACTCGGATGCATTCTCAATGCGGTCAGAATATTCGCCAATAATCCAAATTAAAGATGCCTTGGCCTCGGGCTCATCAAGAAGTTCTAGATTTTGACATAGCTCTGGAATAATGCCTTCGTATTTTGAGGGGTACTTGCGGAATATATCCTTGATAATTACAATGGACTCTTGAACAATATACGTCACACCAAGTTTGATGAGTTCAAGAAGGGTGTGGATACATTTGTCAGAGGCAGAACTGATTTTAATGGCACATCGGCCAATTGCACGTACAGATTTACGAACAAAATCCACATCCACTTCACTGGCATATCTAATTGACATTGCACATAAAAAATGAGATGACGGTATCTTGCAAATATCCCAAAACACTGTTAAAAGGTCTACTCACTCCTTCAACTCGGAAATAACTTGGTCTACATTGGCTTCTGAGCACAACTTGATAATTACTTCTAGTTTCTCCAGCTTTACATAGGGTGGGTCATTGTACTTTGTAAAGAAAACACGAACTTCTTGGGTAAGAATTTCAGGACGTTTTTGAAGGATAAAGTTGATGTTGCGAAGTGCCACATATTGGATTTCAGGCTGCGAGGAGAGAAGAGTCACTGTGGTATAAAGTCAAGGGTAAAGAGTATGTTGGCAACACGATACAATAGTTAAAAAGCATCAGTATTGGATACATACCCAATGGAGGAGCGAGCTTGCGAATAATAGTCTTGTCTAATTCTTCAGAAAAGTTGTAACCAAGATAGATCATGAGGGTCTTGACTGCAGACAAAACCACACTGGAGTTGACATGCTGAAGACGAGGGATAACACGCTCGATTATATCGCTAGCCTCTCGAACATCGCGTGGGCGATATGTGGCAAGTGACCCTAAGATACAGATCTGACCCCATCTACACATATACAACGCGCAAGGTGAAATGGATATTAGCAATATATTGTGTAGGAATTGGATTGATCTATATATATCATCAAAAATGCTTACTCTGTACATTCGTTGAGAGCAGCCAGCAGTTTCTGCAAAAGAAAATCGGTAATGACGAATATATCTTTTTGAGCAGAAGCGTTACTGATTTCGACCAGTGCAGCCACAGCATTGGTAATTACCTATTAGTTGGATGCAAGAGTATATGTATTGTTTAAATGAGCAACTGTTGAATTAAAACAGCCAGCACATTCTAAAAGTATGAGTATACCATTGGATTGCGATCAGATAGCATATCTTGAAGAATAGAGATAAGCCCATTGTCAATGGCAATACCGGGGTTCAAGTCAAACAATTTTGCAACGCATAGTGCGGCAGTCTTTCTAACATATGGATCCTCGTCCTAAATGAATGGAAAAACTCGAAAAAAGTAAGTGTATAGTCCAGCCAACCTCGAGATACTGGGTATTCACCTTGAGGCCCTTTTTGAGAGGCTCGAGTAAATAATCGACAATTTTCTCAGCTCGCAAACATCCCATAGTTCGAATGGCCAATGCTCGAATAAGCGGGTTATGATCATCTGAGTCCTTGACAAACGTATTTACAGCCAAAATGACGAGTTCGGGCTGAGATTTGGCGTAGTTGATCAAGTAAAGATAAACCAATTTCTTCAATTCCAAATCCTCAGTCTGCATGTTTTTGACGACATCAGCAAACAAGGAAGAAACGTCTTTTCCGATGGTCATATTAGCAATGACTTTTTTGACAGTTTCCTTGCGTTTTTCACGATACTCGCTGTTGAGATCTACCTTGAGTTCATAGTTTTCTCCTGAAATCAAAGATGTGATAAGATTGGTTTAATAATTGCATGCGATATACTGTCATTGAAGGTTAAACCAACCACAAGATCAACGCAAATATGCTTGAATAATTGAATACATTAGACAAATCATGCATCAAGTAAATGATATCGAACCCTTGAATATAATCAAAACAAGAGTTCTTTGCTTGGTGGATCAACCAGTTACTAGTGCAAACCAATGGGAGTTGTCATGACAGCACTGACTTGAATCAGTCTGTTCAACTAATGTATAAAAACACCCGACTATTCAAACAGAGCCAACGCAGATGAATACAGTAGAATATACCCCACACTATAGTCTTTATCTAAGCCAATGTTCAATATGAATGACTACTGTCCACGCTGCCCTCGAATTGAAACAAGACCATCTGAAGTAGTTGGCAAGAAGATGCACTCAGTTGTTTGCAGAGCAAAAGGTAGTATACAGCCCACCTTTTTTGTTGGTAGTAAAGAAGCGAGGACGGGGCACATCAGTCATGACTGCAATGAGGTTTGAATAACGAGATTCAACAATAAAAGCGAATTCAAGCGCAATGGCAGACTTTCATTTAAACCATTCTTACCGTGTTCACGCAAAACGAACTTTGAATAGTGTTTTCCTGTTAAAGATTGTTATTCAATGCTCACTGTTTGTACTGTAATGCAAACTAGTTTAAACTTGTTTTTGTACAACATGAACTGTTGATTGACAATCATGTTTTTTAATCTCGAATACACTCGCGTTCTAGTTCATGAATGCATCGTTTTAATCACCAGCACAAGACTAGAGAGTTTACAGGAACAATACTGTTCAATTCATTCAACATTGTTTCACAAGATTGACTGTTTATCTAGTTTCACTGTTTCATATGAATTTAAAATGTTTAATCAATTCATGGCAAATCCTTTTTATTGTTTAATACCATGATTTGGGCTCAATTTTATGATTGTGCCCAAACATTTACTGTTCCGTCTTCAGCACTTGAAATCACTGTTCTCATCTATATCCAATTTAAAACATATTAGTCTGCATTATACGACCATTGATTATACATTGATGGCTTTAATCTTGGCAAACCTTGGTGTCCCAGTGAGTCGATCGTACAATATCTTCATGTCCACCATTTAAAGTGTAAGCAAGCTCAAGATGAGTTAAATTCACATCCAAAATTCCAATTGCTCCCCTAGATGAATCAATTACATTAGTCATTCATATCAAGTCATGGAATACCACCATCTATATCAGCATCCTACTCTTGAGATCCAGCAGTGACATAAAGACGCTGTCCTTCAGGCTCATATGTGCAATCAATTAGGTAGTCTAGTTTAAGTTCTTCGGATATGCCTCGGACGTCATCAAACACACAAATCTTGTCGCCCTATACAAAAAACATGACAACGATTTAATGATTTCCATCAATACTATAATACAATGGTGTTTTCATACTTCTAGGAATTTCCACAACGACATGGTTTCAATATGTGATGTTGCATAAATGTATTCGGCCGATGGACCAAAAAATCCAAGTCTGCTAACAGAATTGCTCTTGATGACTTGATAAAGTGCATCATCTTCTTCCCATGTCGATAGGTTGTATAAGCAAATGAGTCTAAAATTGTAATGTTAGCTTATACCAGCATACAAAAGAATGGTAGTCAAATCAACACACTTTCAACATCATGTACTAACCCATCAGTTGATCCAGAAATCATTGCTTCTGCTTGAGTTGGATGAAATTTGATCTGTCAACATTAGCGTATTATGGTTAGATGCGTGTATGAAAACTGATTCAATCACTTTGCGGTTGAAGTGTTACCTGCGTGATATCGTCAGAATGGCATTCAGAAAAAACTGCCAAACATGATTTTTCATTGGATCGAATATCCCTTTAGTTTAAAGTATGCAGCTTTAGTATTTCATTCAAATGATTTGACGTGCATTCAAAATTCAAGATCCATACCAGAAATTGATATTGGCGTCTTCCCCACACAGTTCTGATCCCTAAACATTATATGCATCAAGTTATACTTTAAAGTATAAAACCAATCGTTTTAAACGATACTTACTGTAGCCAAAATAGAATGCGAACTATTGATATCAAATGAAAGTATTGGTGCTCCGGCTATATTCACAAAACCAATACAGCTCAATACAATGCAACTCAACGATCGATACAACACATATACTTTGAGTATTAAAGTAACAACACAGTGTTGACTCACCATTCCAAGCCATAGCAGGCGAATGCGTTCCATTTACAGATTTAGTTCGTAAATCCCACAAAGACACCAACCCATTCTTGTTGCTTGATAAAACAAGCTGTGGATTGGTATGATCCAACATAATCTGTGTCAATACTGTAGGATATTCATCCACTGGATTGATTCTTGTAATCAGGTTCAAGGTTTGAATATCATAAATGGAGATAGAACCCTGTGTATGAGCAGCAGCTATATGAGTAGCATTTATGGCTGGAGCGAGTTGAAAGACATATTCTTTGGGCTGGTTTTTAATTTGATGATGAAGTTGGAATGGAGTTGCTGACAATGTCATGTTGGTCAATCAATCCAATGGTTTCTAATTCAAGTTTTGTAAAGTAAATATTTTTTATTGAAATTTTAGTTTGACCCTCCGTTTCATAACCACACATTCGATCATGCCATGGAGAAGAGCTATTCACGAATACCTTGTCAAGGTTATTTCAGAAAACTCTTTGTTTCAAGCCTTTGTGCATCGAACTCAGTCTGGCATGTTTAATGGTACATTACTGTGTAAACTATGAGCAATAGAGCTGATTGCTGGGGTTCAGCTTGTATGAATTCATGACATATTATAGCTTAATGCGGTACTTATGACTAAGCTAATACTATGTGTGTGTATCAACCATTAGCAAGATCAAAAATAGCAAACAATGAGCCAATCTGGAAACCTAGAAACGATTCTGTGAGTTTCATTTCTGCAGAAGCATTAAACTATTTGTTGAATCTTGTGCACTTGTTTCTGTCGACTAGTAAAGCCTTTGGTCTATGAATATAACATGACTGACATTAGTGTTTAAATATGGTTTAGTTTACAGGAGTGTTTGTCAAGGTATATCCGTCGAGACTGTTTGATTGTTTGCTTTGCATTACTGACCATTTATTTATTTTCACATTGCAGGAATTCAAGGATGGACTATTTAATCTATACAGACGAAAGAAATGAGTCTGATTCAAGACTGACAGCAACACTGAGATGCATTTTTTGACATTTACATGGCAAACTCGGGATATTTGAATACAACACAATCATCAATCTGAATTCAAAAGTAGTTATATTTGGATCATAAATAAATACATTACATATGTCTATTCAGTTGTTGGAATAAACAATACGAGCATAGAGTGAATGGATTAAAGTTGACAACTTTACAGCCCTATTCATATAGAATAGAACATTAGTGCCCAAGTACACAATACATTTCAATTTGGTGGTTCAATACTGATGAAAACAACAGTAACCCAATATCTGATTTCAAACTTGTCGATTGTGCAGTATATAATTATAACAAAAAAAGAGAAATGCGTTTTAAACTATAATGTGTGTTGATTCAAGTAATCGATATGTAATGAGAATAAAGAATGCTGATGGTTGCTTATTTCCAAGAATCATTGCAAGACAAAGTGTTTCATTTTACGTGAATACGATTGTAACTTGATACGAATCATGTCATTTGCTGATTTTGGAACTAGCGGAAATGGTGCTAGCAGAGGTTATACAGGACAGTCTTTGTCTGCAGCAGTGGAGATTCCATTGAGTCAGGCAGGCATATCATCTTCCAATGCACAAGGCACACCGAGTATGAGAGTTGGTTTTGCTTATTGATAAACTGCTGTCAAGCAACTATAAAAGAACAGGATGGACTTGGACTTGGGATGCTATAAAGTGTAGAGCAAGAGTTGATTCCATCACTTTATCCGTCCTATGCCTTTGCATTCAACCTATTATCTTTTAAGCTCATTCAAGGCTGCATCGTTTATTTTATTTTATTGTAAAACTAAAGCAATGTTATCTACCACACTATAATGTGTAGATGTTTCTGAAGAGTTTCGCAGGCTTTGGAACAGTGTATCAGAAAGTATATTCAAAGTATCGAGCAATGTAGCAACGATCCAGAGATTACAAAACCTGTTTGGTGGACATCAGGATACACCAGCAATGCACCAGCAATTGTAAGTGTTTGTAAAAGTAGCTTATTCTGTGCTGTCACTGACCTGAATTGTATGGATTAGACACGATGTGACGGAACAAACTCGCAGTCTAATCAAGACCATCAGTTTGGATCTAAAAAAAGTGATGGCAGTCAAGCCATCCGAAGGAGATGTAAGCATGACTCTTGTTGAAAGTGATTGAATGTAGATTTACAAACAAGTTTTGATTGAGAATAGCGACAAACTCGAATTACACAAAAGAAGCTCCAAAAGGATTTCGAGGCAATACTTCGTAGATTTCAAGAAGAGTCGAGGATAGCGGCGGAGAAATCGAGAGAATTTGTATCAATGGCACGAGCGCGCAAAGCATTTGACTTGTAAGAATGAAGGAGAATTATGTAAGATTACAACCAAGACTAACAAGGATTGAATACACAGGGAAGAAGCTACAGAGGATGAACCACTTCTTGGACACACTCAGCAGTAAGTGATTGAATACAAAAAAAAATGGGATGTGGTTTAACTTGAATGTGATGAGTCTAGATTGACACAACTGCGAGCACTGGATGCGGAAGTAGAGTTTAATGAAGCATTGATTGTTGAGCGAGAGCAAGATCTGGTTGGAATTGAGCGGTCAATTCAGGAAGTCAATGAGATTTTTCGAGATCTGGGCACATTAGTGAATGAGCAGCAATATTTACTGGGTAAGTTGACAAGGAACAAAGAGCAGGGAATAAGATACTAACAGAATGAATGATAGATAACATTGAAAGCAATGTGGGAGCAACGGCAGTTCATGTCGAAGGAGCACACAGTGAGTTGAGAGTAGCAAGCAGTTATCAAGCCAAATCCAGATCATGCATGTGTTGGACGTTTATTATTTTATTAGTAATAAGCTTGATAGTGTTGGCATTTCTTCATCCGTGGACATGGGTAAAGTAACCGACTTTTTAGGATTTCTCAAACAAGATTCTCTATGAAATCCCCGACAAGAATTCTAACGAATGCGATGGAATAAATTTTACAATTTTCAACTATAAAAAGCACGCTCAAATTCCATTTTCTTTCACTCAACTTTTTATTATTTTATCATGGCAGAAACATTTGCATTCCAGGCTGAGATTTCTCAGGTACTGTGTGTTGCCCTTGGTTTGATCTACTGTCGACTCCATGACTAACTTTAATCCTACTAGCTGATGTCTCTAATCATCAACACTTTCTACAGGTGAGTTTTCTAAAATGTTCTCTTGTGTTCTAGTGTGCACAGCTTGGTTCTAATTTTTGTTTTTTGAACCCTTAATTTTTTAGTAACAAGGAAATCTTTTTGCGTGAACTCATCTCAAACGCTTCCGATGCCCTTGACAAGGTCCGCTACGAGTCTCTCACTGACCCCTCCAAGTTGGACTCGGAAAAGGAACTCTTTATTCGCATTAACCCCCTTCGGGATCAGAATGTCTTGGAAATCCGTGACTCGGGTATTGGTATGACAAAGGCTGATCTTGTCAACAATTTGGGTACCATTGCCAAGTCTGGAACCAAGGCTTTCATGGAGGCTCTCCAGGGAGGTGCTGATATTTCCCATGATTGGTCAGTTTGGTGTTGGTTTCTACTCTGCCTATCTGGTTGCTGACAAGGTCGAGGTCATCACCAAGCACAATGACGACGAACAGTACATCTGGGAGTCTGCCGCCGGTGGTTCCTTCACTATTGCCCGCGATACCATCAACCCATCCATTGGCCGCGGTACCGTCATTCGTCTCTTTATGAAACAGGATCAGATGGAATACATGGAAGAAAAGAAAATCAAGGAAATTGTCAAGAAGCATTCCGAGTTCATTGGCTATCCCATTCAACTCATTGTTGACAAGGAGATTGAAAAGGAGGTTGAAGACGAGTCTGCCGAGGCTGTCGAGGAGAAGAAGACCGAGGAAGACGAGGACAAGCCCAAGATTGAAGAAGTTGACGAGGAGTCTGAAAAGCCAAAGACCAAAAAGGTCAAGGAAACCGTCAAGGAGACTGAGGAGCTCAACAAGACCAAGCCCCTCTGGACTCGCAACCCCGACGACATCAACAACGAAGAGTATGCCGCTTTCTACAAGTCACTCACCAACGACTGGGAGGACCACTTGGCTGTCAAGCACTTTTCGATTGAAGGTCAACTCGAATTCCGCGCTCTGCTGTATATTCCCCGTCGTGCTCCATTCGATGCCTTTGAGAGCAAGAAGAAGCGCAACAACATCAAGCTGTATGTTCGTCGTGTCTTTATCATGGACGACTGTGACGAGCTTATTCCAGAATGGCTTGGCTTTGTCAAGGGTGTTGTTGACTCTGAGGATCTTCCCTTGAACATTTCTCGTGAGACCCTCCAGCAAAACAAGATCCTAAAGGTCATTCGCAAGAACATTGTCAAAAAGGTTCTTGAAATGTTCGAGGAGATTGCAGAGGACAAGGAGAACTTTGGTAAATTCTACGAGGCCTTTTCCAAGAGCATCAAGCTCGGTATCCACGAAGATGCCACCAACCGCGCCAAGCTTGCTGAGCTGTTGCGTTACCACTCCACAAAGTCTGGCGAAGAACTCACTTCTCTCAAGGACTACGTTACCCGTATGCCCGAGAAGCAAAAGCACATATATTTTATTACTGGTGAGAGCAAGGCTACTGTTGAAAACTCTCCCTTTATTGAGACTCTCAAAAAGAAGGGCTTTGAGGTTCTGTACATGGTTGACCCCATTGATGAATACTGCGTCCAACAGCTCAAGGAGTATGATGGAAAGAAGTTGTTCAACTGCACCAAGGAGAATCTTGAGCTTGATGATGACGAGGAGGAGCTTGAGAAGCTTAAGCAGCAAAAGGAGGCATTCGAGCCCCTTACCAAGCAGATCAAGGAAATTCTTGGCGACAAGGTTGAAAAGGTTACCATTTCAAACCGTATCGTCAACTCACCTTGCGTTTTGGTGACCAACCAATACGGCTGGTCTGCCAACATGGAGCGTATCATGAAGGCACAGGCTCTCCGTGATGCCTCGATGCAGTCCTACATGCTTGGCAAGAAGACTCTTGAGCTCAACCCCGACAATGCGATTGTCAAGGCTCTCAAGGTCAAGGTAGATGAAGACAAGAATGACAAGACAGTCAAGGACTTGACTCAACTTCTCTACGAAACCGCACTCCTTTCCTCTGGATTCTCTCTTGAGGAGCCCTCTAGCTTTGCCGGCCGCATTCACCGCATGATCAAGCTTGGTCTATCGATTGATGAGGATGAGATTCTTGCTGATGCAGCAGACGATCTCCCACCTCTTGAAGATGCAGCCGTTGAGTCCAAGATGGAAGAGGTTGATTAAATTATTCTTCCCAAAGCTGTACGACCACCTAATTTTAAAGAGCTGCAGTTTGCTCCACTTTATGCACTTTTGTATGCGACCCAATGATCCCTTCAAGTTTAGCTTTTTTAAAATAAAATCATATCTTGTTTGCCACACTTGGATTTATTCAGATTTACTCGTCGAGAGTGCCAAAATACCTGCAACCAAAATCACCCAAGCCAGGTACAATGTACCTCTGTTCGTCCAAGCCGTTGTCTATTTCGGCAGTTACGATTCTCACTTTGGGGTAAGCATCCAAGACAGCCTTGATTCCTTCTGGACAGCAAATCAGATTGACAAACAGAATATGGTCTTCCATGACACCATGATTCAACAACACCTCAATGGCCTTGTTGGCGGACCCACCTGTTGCCAGCATAGGGTCAAGCAACAAACAAAACCTCGATGCGATATCTTTGGGAAGCTTGGAATAAAACAGCTGAGGCATAGCAGTAGCTTCGTCACGTTGAATTAGAATCTTGCCAATGCGGACTGAGCGACAACAATCCCTCAAGCCTTGCTCCATAGATTCACCTGCACGCATAATTGAAACACCACAGATTCGACCCAGTGGGGATAAACCCTTGTACTCGGAACCTAATGATAAAGGTTAAAAGACGATCAACTCCATAGCAGTGTCAACTCACCCATGCAAAACATACCCGTAGCAGTAACTACCGACTTGTCTACGAATGGTAAATGATTGAGTGCTGATAAAAACACAAGAACATTGAGTATTGAATAGTTTAAATGGATGACACAAGAACATTGAGTATTGAATACAACCTTCTTCAACCAAAAGACGAATTACTCGATCGCCTAACATGTCAAGATAAAGGGAATAGAATCATGGTTAGTATTAGATGACATGGGTTATAGTTGAAAGGGTTTAATGAGTATTTGAGACAGTAACAACTCAGAATGACAACCATGAGAAATGGGTTGAGATTCAACCCTGACAGTTGCATGGGTTATACAAGTACTTTGATCAACTCAACTATGAAAGATAAAGTCGCCTCGACCAGTACTTTTGTTTCTGATAACAGTCATGAGAGCTCTCAGTTGAGGAGTTGAGTCGAGCAGTCTGACATTGGCAGGAGGTTTATAAGACATTGTTAATAAGACGGAGATTGAACAGAAAAGGAAAACTTTGATCAACGATTTGAAATGGAGTTCAATTGGAGAGTGTCTGCGCAGTCTTTTTCAACTTCATTTTCAACTTTATGACAACTCACCCATTTGATAAACTGAACATATCAGACACTAGTGTGCTGATCAATACTCGACGTTCTGTCTGTCCTGGTTGCAATCGAAGTTCTAAAAACTTTTGTCCTAAATGCAATTTACCACTCGATCACTCTCCTCCTTCTATTCATTTACCCATTCCAGTAGACATGTCAGTGTACATCCCATTCTATCTTGTATACATTCTACCATTTCTAAACTACTGGATTTTATTATAGATATCGACATCCAGGTGAATGTCATGGCAAAACAACTTCAACGCATGCTAAACTTGTTGCTCCAACTCGAGTCAAAATATACATTGCTGATTTAGAAGGTGCATCATCAGATACTGAGTTAATGAGTAGGTATCCTGATCCTTCTCGAGTCCTGTTACTCTTTCCTTCAACCGTAAGTCTGTAATCTCGACTTGTTTTTACAAACTTGATGTTCACTAAATCTTTACATTCTATCCAGTCGGCTGTTCCCCTCACACAAATCAAGTCATCTTCGTTTGATAGGCTGATTGTACTAGACGGAACATGGAAACAAGCAAAAGCCATGACAAAGCGGTTGAGTCAAGTTGGGTTTCGTCATGTCAAGATCGAATCCCACGAGACTTTGTTTTGGCGATACCAGCAGTTTGATCGAACATTTCTTGCTACTATCGAAGCTATTTACTGGTTTTATCGAGAATATTTCGATGCTTATCTGGCACATGGCTGTAATGAGAATATCGTAAAACAATACTCTGGAGAGTACGATAATATGCTGTTTTATTTCAAGCATAACTGGGAATTGATTCAACTTTTTTATAAATCAAACCCAAAAAAATCGTTTACACATCGACATATAGACGGTGCTGCATATATTCAGTACGATGACAAGAACACTGAACTTACTTTATGATTGCGCACATTAAAAGTTTAATGAATTGAATTCCAAATCCAAATCCAAAAAACCAACTTTTCCCTTTTTCTGGTAATTTGCTAGCAAACTTTACACCAACTCATTCTGTAAACTAGTGCTTAAACAGTTTCCTTCATCATCATGGATGATATGGCTCAACCTCAACAAGATACTTCAATCATGGAAATCGATAATCAACCTTTAGACCATCTTTCTCCTCGTTTAGATGGAGTCACAAAAATACCAATACATGTAGCAGAAAATGACCCAGCTATTGATAATGTAGACATTCCAATACCATTGACACTGGATAATGAATTGGTAACCAACAACGAAGAGTAGGTCAAATTCATTGCTGGATTGGAATCTCAACTCAGTGCTATACGTTCTTGTTGCTCTGTCCTCTTTTTAAACGCTATATTGACCGATAATTGCTACACTTTATTGAATTGACTCTAGTGTATTACTGCTATTGAGCGCACTCAAGGTTTTACGTAACCAGCTGTCACAAGTAGAATCTGATATCAAGCGGCTTGATGAACTAAGATCCATGGCTATATCTGATCCACGCAAGTTTATAAAAGACTTTATGGAAAAGGTACATTTGGCTTGATCTTGTATGGTGAATACAAGTCTAGTTTATTTCAAATCCAAGACACACACTTCAGTTTTCCATCAGGTGACTCGCTAAACTATACTTTTTCAAATATAGAAGTTGGGACCCATACCAAAAGGACAGAGAATATTCGCATGTCCAGAAATAGATTTAGCCAAATACGTCAATCGATCAAGACGTCATCGTGTCGAAATCAGTATGTTTAGGGAAATACAGTTTTATGTATGATTAACACGCCCATTGACATTAAACTTTCTACTGTTGTCAATATAGATTACCCTCCTTTGTTCCGTCCGCAACTGTTTCGGACTACAACTGATAAACCTTTGTACAACCCTCCACAGCTCGATTTGGATATGCTAGATCGGCTTGCTAGTCAACCCTCACCAGATCATTTAAAGCCTGCACCCTCCCTCACACGAACACAGTCACAACCAGTAAAACCACGATCATTCTCTCCTTCATCCACGCTATCGGCTTACGTTTCAAATGTACCAAGCACCCCAAAGTCATACTCTGTCTCTAAATTTAAAAAACCTTTAAAGAGTTCAGATCGACCTGGAATTGGAAGAAGTGGGGAAAATTATAGGTTGTGGACGGTAGAAGAGCAGGTGAGTTACGCTATTCGATGTCTATATCACCTATATTCAAACCTCGTCACGCTACTCATCTACATTGCTTTATTTGCAACGAGTACTCATTTTTTGTAACCCCTCATTGTTGAATATTAGTATAAACTTCGAGCCTTATTAAAAGAGTTTCCTGAAAGCCCGCAGTTGTCTGGAATGCAGTATTTTGAATTTCTTTCAAAGAAAATGGGATCGCGAACCAAAGTCCAGGTAGGCATGCATATTTAACCATCTAAACATCATAATCAAGAGTTTAACCATGAATAGGGATGCTGTATTGGAATTTTTTAGCTTCATTCATATGTACGACATAACCGGTTCACTATTCCCATGAACTCGCAACAAGACAATGTAGGTTTTGTGTGTGATATAAAGCCAATTCTTTTCCATACTTTTTAACTGTAATCAAAACTGAGTTTTATTTGTTGATCATTTCAAACAGGATGATATGGACTCGGTCACGACATTACCATTTTCAGCAACACCATCTGATAAAAATGACTATGACGAATTTGTACGAAATAGCAAAACCGGCAAAAGAGGGTCAACTTCTAAAAGCAAGTCACGAAATGATGCTTCCTTGTTACATACTCCTGTCAAACCACTCAAACCTTCAAAAAAAGACGAAGCAGTACTGTTGAGTTTAAAAAATGCTCAGCCAGTACATCATGGATATCAATGCGATATGTGTCTGATTGAGCCCATCGTTGGTGTAAGTCTGCTATAAACTGTTGGTTTAAAGAGTATTATGGGTTAGGGAATTAATGATCCACCATGTTTGGTGCTGTTGGACATACAGACGCGATGGCGATGTAAAGACTGCACTGGTGATAGTCAAGTTGATTTATGCTCAGAGTGTGTAGATCTTGGATTCAAAACTGGTAAGTTGTGGTACAAGTCTATTTCTAAATTGGGTTTGAACTGTAATGTCAATCAACCTGCATTTTCTGTTTACAATCTTGTAGAAACACATGGATCTGATCACAAACTCGAGTCGATTGCCGAGCCTGAGGAATGGGAAGAGTCATCCGCATTCAACTACCTAGGATTCTAATTACACTACATTCTACCATCAATAAACACGACTAGACTTGAATGTACTGTATCCATGATGAAGAATTCAGCAATGCCTTTTTTATTTGAATTTCCATGTCAGAGTCTTGTTTGCCCAAAATGGCACAACAGATCTTTCAACACCATCATCATCCATAAACCCAATTTCTTGTGGAATCGACAAGCCAGAGTCGCATTTAACTAGAGTTGCTTGCTTGGTCGATGCATCTTTGTTGGGAATACCGTAAAATGCACGTCCAAACTGACAAGCAAATCCTTCCAGTCTATCCAAAGCGCCAAACGAATCTAAAATAGTGGCTAGATAGGGCATCACAAACGGTGTAACAAACACTCCTGCAGCAGCAGTAGCAGTATTTTCTTTGGTGTGGCGAGGATGAGGTGCCGAATCTGTGCCAAGAAAAAACCGAGGATGACCTTGACTCACCACTTGACGAAGGGCATCACGATCGTGAGGAAACTTGGCAACGGGTTTGCAGAAATGATGGCATTGACCAGCCCAATCGTCTACCAAGAGCTGCAAATGATGAACTGTAATGGTGCAACCCACTGTTGGACCAAGTGATTTGACCTGAATATCGAATTCAATCAAATTTTAAACCACTTGATGTATGCAATATCATAACGATCCGATTTACCATATCTACTGCGGCTTTGGTGGTGGCATGTTCTAGTACAATTTTGAGACGAGGGAAATCAGCATGAAGTTGTGCAAGATGCTTTAAAAATCGCTCCTCGGCATTCAAAACACAAATGTCCTAATCACAAAAAAACAAGCCGGATGAACGGTGAGTAACGATTCAAAACCAGTTGATGCTTCAATATGAACATACGTTTGACGGATCGCTTGGAACTTCTCCATGCAGATTTAAAACCATTCCAGCTTCTTCCATTGCTCGGAATACCTCATAGTACACCGTGTAACTTTCGATGCCAGAGTCGCTGTTGGTGGTCACTCCACGAGGATAACTTTTGACTCCTACAGTTGTATTGGGTTTAACACTCGACTCAAAACTGTCGCTATATTCCAACCAGAAAAATGGGTACCATCATACCTTTTATTCCAGCCTTGGCAGCCTTGTGAATCTCTGTTGGAGTGAGATCGGGATTCAGATAAAGTGTCATAAAGAACTCAGTGTTGGGCGAAAGCTGCTGAAGCTGTTCTTTGTAACAAAGTGCTTCCTCAGTAGTCTTGATTGGCGGCTTCAAATTAGGCTAATAATAAAATACATTAAATATGACGATTGCTATCATGCAATGGATATCGATGGATTAAAGCAATGCAACATCGCACATGTCGAGTGAAACTGCAGTTTCCATAAAATACCTCACCATGACATAGGCGAGTTTGCAGCCCCCACTTTCAATCAGCGGAGTAACAGTACGCATCAGAGCATCCTGACGTAAATGGACATGAAAGTCGTCGAGCAATGGGAGTGTGATTGACATGAAGTTTGCCAAGATTGAAAATTAATTCAATGTAAAATGTGTACGCATTCAGTGGTGACAAAGAGCATGAGAACAGAAAGAAATTGTCATGTTTTGCAAATATTGACGGATTGCTGATTCGAATAGCAGAACATTTACGCTTATTTCAATATAGAATTTCATTCTTTTGACCTTATTCAGTCAGAAATTAGGAATAAATAATCGTTAAATATTCGTCGTGTTGGAAATGAGTTGCTTTTCAATCAACACAACATTCATCATAATACAAACTATGGTTTTCTCCACATGTGGTATAACCATACATTGTACGATCAACAAGCTTAAAACCAGATATTGAATTCAAATCTCATCAAGTTTGTAAACTCCTGTATTCTAATCTCACAGATACGTTTACATTTCAGGAATGCAACCGTTGCTTTCATACTGATCACCAGGAAATTGTTCAATTAATGAGTTTACAAAATAATGTTGTCCAGTAAACTATCATGTCATGAGATTGACTGTTTATGATTCCAAAATATGCTTAAACTATTTCATGAATATGCACAAATGTTATTGGGTAGCAGACAATATGGCAACGGCATAAACTCGCGACAAACTATGCATCAATTGCATATCATTTCTTGTGTTGCTTTTTGAGATCTTGCAGATGCTTCAGTGGTATGAAAATCCAATGGTTGGCTTGAAAGTGCATTGGAAAACATGAACCAATGTCCTATATGCTGGCTTGACGTGGCATCACAGCCAGCTAATACTCGAATACTTTCAAACCAAAAGATTAACACATTGACACGATAATGATTGAAAACCAGATCTATTCACGGCAAAAATGCTTACCCTATAATCGCATGACAACCTGGACAGGTTCCATGAGCATACGCGAGTCCATCTACTTGACACCAATACGCATTTAACGAATCACTCGCCATTACGGAAAATGGAATATCCATATCAGCATCGTCTCCCACTGCAAAAATTTGTGATCCTTGTGCATGCCGAAGTGCATAACTGAGCTCTGTAGTGATGCTGTGGGCTTTGGAAGCATTAACAATATATGATCCACATCCAATACAAGATAAAGTAACTAGAGGTGAAGACTGCGTAGTTTCAGTTTCTGGCGACGCAAGTGGAACATAGTTGCATGGATTATTCCAAGTTGTATCTGGTATGGCAATGTCGGATTGTATTTTGAGTTTTTCTGGACTTTGTTCTGCTGCTGCTGCAGGTGTTTGATTTGGCGTGGCTTGCAACGACACTTGGGATTCCTGTTTAACCTTGGATCCAAATGAATATTTAGACAGGTCAATTGCTTTTTTGATCCCGCCAAGCGTTGCTGTATCATTTTGAGAATGCAGCGCTTGGTTATTGTCTAACCATACTTCAGATGTATTTGTCTGCACAATAGATACCACGCACAATATTGGTTAGTAACGGTCAAAACATGAGTTGTTATGCGTGACAATATCCAATCAAGCATGATTACCCAATTCAAAATGTTGATTTCAGTATTAGATGATTTTGGAATAATTGGATTTTCAATTGTACCCTTCAACGAATCCAATGTACCAGCTGTATTGAAATCTGTGTCTAGACCCAGATCAGTTTGTGGCTCATCTACCTTGCATATCTGCTCCTGTTCAACTTGATACTCCTCACGTTTCTTTTTTTCATCTGGAATGTGAGCCTCTAGCTGAAGTTTCAACTCGAACTCAGCCTTAATACGATAGTCGAAAAACGATTTCAAAACCGCCTCTGCTTCTTGAAGAGTTTTCCATTGCCTGATTTTCGTGCGCATCCATTTAGATAGATTAGATGTACATCTGGATTGTGAAAATCTTTCATCAAGCAGAATAATGGCACCCCAGTCGTTTCGATGTCGGATGCATCTTCCTAATGCTTGATTAAGGGCACGATATGCCTGCATAGAATACCTGAGATTGCATCAATGTTTGCTTCGGTAAGTAAACCATTACAGTCATGCCATACAAAAGATGTTCAAACATAACAATACCATTCACTGCCAGTCAAAAGACCTCGTGATGATGCACGCTGAGTATTATAGTCTCTTTTTTGAAGTACTTTAATGTCTTTGATATTTGGAAAGGGCAGTCCAACGCAAATAACACCGCGAGCCCGATGATCTACAGATGATGTACGACGTAATGATCAACACCCGCGATTGTTTAAAACAATTGTAAATTACAATCAAAAACTAGACTTCTTACCAGAAAAATCAATCCCTTCGCTCATCTATTTAAATCAAGTTGAGCGTGTCAACACAAAGCTGTAATACCTTGCAACAAAAGTACCATACTTTACCTTTCCACGATATACACAAAACAAGATTGCACCTGATTCTGTAGAACTGATAGAATCGTATTTAGCCATTAAATTCTCAAGTTCTTTTTTGGCATTGGCTCTGGGTTCTGTAAAAATATATTTTGTTTTCCCAAGTCTTTGTTCGAGCCCAGTCTGCCTCCATCTATCCATCAACTTATCTAACCACCTATATAATAGGTTAAACATGATGTAGTAAATAATTGAATAATTACTGTAGCCCATTTCAAAGCTGTCCAAGTCTGCCCATAATGCACATACATATAACTAGGCAAAAACACCAGTAGTCCTTGAGGAATGAGATTTGCTAGTCGCGCAATTGAGAGACCCAATTGGTCTTGATAATCAAATGTTTCAAACGATTTGTATACTCCAACTAGAGGCATATTGTTGGCCCCAGATGGCAGACTTCCAATACAAAGCTGGTCATCTTTAATGATGTGTGGTGCTTCAAGAGTGTGGGCAAATTTCACCCCTAATTCACGAGAAAATGAGCTAATCGGACTCATTGTACCACTATGTGCAACAAAAAGCGTGAGCTGAGCGTATAATAGCAAATGTGTAGATTAGATAGTAGACTAGTCTAAAATAATCAAATACCTTGTTAAAATAATCGATTTCGTCATTGATTCAATATGCTTAAAAATGACAGCTGGGTTCATACACCAAAATGAAAAAGTATAAACCCATGGCAGCGAGTCTAAAATATTGGTCAAAGTGTTACCAAACTAGCCCTATCAACACAAGACACAATGCAATCAAGACATATATTTCCAGATTCAAATCGTTCAGCACTCAGCGACAATACCTTTAACTCGAGACTCATTTTCGGACTTGGTAAGCACCATGCGATAATCTAAACCAAAACCATTGGTTAGTATTTAGAAATCAACACAGCATTTTCAACAAGTCAGTACAAAATAGAGGCTCACCATTGATAAAATCAGGATCAAATGAAAATAAAAACCTCAGTATCATCACAAGACCTAAACAACCAACAAATGAGTGATGAACATTATTTCATAATGTAAAAAATAAATTTGTTTACCTCCTATTAGTTGTAGAGATCTCTGACTCGGATATTCACGTTTTAATAATTTGAATTTGTCAGACGAACCCATAGTTTCCTGAATAGTCGCATATGCTTGAGTAATCATCGGTATACTGATGATAACCAATCGTACTTTTTAATTAGTAAACCAAATAGACTTGCTACATTCGTATGATTGATCAAATCAGCTAAACATACCTCCCAGGTAATATACCCATATCTCCAAGAAGCTGACTGATCTCAGGCCCTTGCCAACTTGAGTTTTTAATTACAATTCATTGAGTCAGCCAACTAGTTTCAAAACATCTTAAAACACGCAAAAATAGCTCTTACATTTTAAGCGATTTAGAAAATTCATGGATGGTAAAACTATCCTCAAATTTGCACCGCCAGTCCAAAAACATTTTGATCAAGTGAATGAGTGTATTGTATTCGTCCACATGATGACCTTGTTTAACAATGCCCTCAAGATCTCGACTTGTTTCTAATTCAATATTTCACTGTGAGTTTTGAAAACCAAATGTAGCCCATCACAATGCATTGAATATACCAATCATTTCCTGCTCGGTAAAATCAGCACTGCCGGAATCCATGCATGAGCTCTCGATATTATGTGCTAAACCAAATAGAAAATTAAATTTAAATCGACACTTGATTGTTTATATCGCAGTATTGGTGGTACCTTCATCAATAATCAGTATGCTGTTTTCAAGCGAAATCCCAGACGAAGCACGCACATCTATACGTGTAAGCATTTATCCAAATAGTCACGTTTAAACTCGGTTGCTTTAAATACAAAATGATGCATGTGCTACAAATAAAATACATACGAGGATCAATAATGTAGTTGTAAGGAGCAAAAATAACCTCGGCAGTTTCTGCAAGCGCTTTTGCAGCATAGTATGGACACCCTCTGGTTCTTTTTCCAACAGTAACCAAGTCCTACATGTTTAAACAACATGCATTCAGTATGTGATTATGGTAGTCTAAGTAGTAAACACTATGTTTTTTAACTTTCAATCGTATACCTCAATGTCCCAAATAGCATTTCTTTCTTCGCCTTGAATCTTGGCGTGGCCCTGCAGTTGCCGTGTACGATTAAAGTATCCACAGCTATCTGTCTCGATAAGCGAGGTACATTCTTCGCCCTTATTCGTAGATCTCTTCAGCTGAGGATTTATGCAGTAATGTTCACGACTGCCAAGAATGGATATTCGCGGTCGGTATGTCGATTTCTCGCGCAACTCACGCACAATCTGCTGGATCTGCTTTTGAGTTCGACTTGATCAAGGTTAAAAATCAGCCCTTGAACACTCATTTACCCAAAATCCAAATATGATAACATGACACACCTTGCAATGAAAATGGTGGGAATAGATTCGTTCAACGCTTTCGATTTCTCACTTCCATCACCCACAACTCCTAAATCGATCTTGTCGATTGCATTGTTGACTTTTATAGCTATAGAGTGGTTTACATTTTGATGATCGCAAACAGCCTCCATGAAATCATCGTTATCATTGGCAAATCTTTGTGAAGCTAAAGCACCAGCAGCTTTAGTTTCAATGGCTTGTGGCGTGTTGTTTGATTTTGTATCTGCACCTATAAAAAATGAAGAGCTGGATATTGGTGGATTCGGTGTCTGTTGCTTTTCTTGTTCAAAAACAAAAGACTTGAAATGCTCAGTTCGAATATTTGTAATGTTGGTCCGTTCGGCCTCTCTCCATGCTAAAACAGCAGTGAGAATTGTCAATGTTTTCCCCGTTCCAGTTGGACTCTCCAACAATGCGTTTTCAGACTCCTTCAATGCCTTGATAATCTATTTTCAAATTCAAGTTTTGTCAACTCTTACAGTCGTATTCACGCAAAGTGGAATGCTAGATAGGGATGGAATAATAAACAGCCGGATTCATGGAATGATTGGTTAATTTACTAGACAGCATATTTTGAACTTTGGTCGAGTGACATTTCTCAATGATTGATATGGAAACAACCGCTGCGTTCCTGAAATAGGCAACTATTGTTTTCTTGAACGCGAGCGTAGTGTAAGATTAGAATACAGGATTTGTATTGACAGCAACAGTTGAATCTAATCATTAAATTACAGTACATCAATCTGATGATTGTACAATGTATGGCTATGCCAAAAGAAAGAAAGGGAGGTTCAATAGTTTGATCGTATTATACAATGAATAGTGTGTTGTGAAGAATAACTTGTAGTCATTGTATAATTCAAAGTCCTGACTGCAAGACAAAAGTGCTCCATGTTACATGAATGCGAGTGTAACACAACTTGATGAATATCGACTGCTGATTTGACCAATACATTGCAAATTTAAAAACAATAGCTCATACCTTTCCCATCATGGCAATCTACGCATAGAAAAAAGGTGTTGCATTTCAGAACATTGTTAGCAAAAAACAAGTGCTTGACAATGCTCATTAAATGATCGTAGATTAAACTCACTTGAAATGGATATGCCTGTTATGTCGATAATTATATCGCAGTTGTACGACATGATCATGTATCATAGTAAAGTGGTGAATTAATACAATCGTCAATTCCAAACCATTAGCCAAACCCTCGACTTGAGGTATAATAAATAAGATACCCATCAAGCCCCATTTACTTTGAAAGGAAATCGGACATCTACTCCATTGATGGTGTATTTTTCAGATGAAGCAATGGATTTCTGATATTCTTTATCGCTTATATCTGTAGGAATATGAAGTGGCTGTTTGAATTGAAAGTCCAATGAAGTTTGTTTCCGTCTGAGTGTGCCTGGTGCTGCAGTAAACAGTTTTTTCAAAGTAGTGGTATTTGTCAAGCCCAAAGAGGGTGAGTTGTGTACAGGAAAGGTGTGACTGGAACTAGAGTTTTTACCGACTATTGTCGATGGTAATCTTCGTTTCAAATTATCCGATCCTTTACTGTCCTCCACCATGACTCCAATATCTTCAATGTGCAGTTAATAATCGAAGCGATAATAATTTCCAGTTTGATTTTGAAGCCCTCAGGTGTTACGGTGTTGAGCTATTGTTGTCGGCCAGTTGGATACGATTTCCATTCCACTCGCTTGACCGCATATTCGATTATCGCAATTTTAAATTTGTTAGTTTGTGACTAAATTCTAATCTTTTGTTTCCTCGTTGCATTTTATTCGAGCTTATTCGACAGTCTGCACACCTCATTTTTACTCTACATAAAATGAATAAAGCCAAAGTTTCTAGCAGCAAACAGACATCTGCTGTACTAAAAAAGCAATCTGTTTCCAGCAAGTCCTGTATCTGTTCTGTTTGCACTTGTGGTCATCACAAGCTTTGCAAACCGGTCACCACAAACGACTCTCCGTTCGATGCTCATACTGGTAACTAAGTTGATTATACTGATTGCTATTGTCTTTTAGTGCGTGAAACAGCTACTGCAATCAGATCGCATCTAGTGATTGTTTTTAATTGACAAAACGATGCTGCCGTATAATAATTACATTTTCGTGATTTTATTCTCAGCCTACACATGATGAGTTTCAAAAAGTAGACGTAATCCAATAGTCTTTCTTTAGTCTTATCGTTTTATTGGAAAAGCTAACCATTGTACACGCATGTCGATATTGCACATTTAGAATACTGCGACAATTTTAAAAAATATCCTCTTGATGTCCGACGCGGTCTGCCGGCTCCACAAGAGCTTTCTGTTGGTGGAGAATTTCACAGCAGCACTGAAAAGTAGGGTTTGCATAAGTTGAGCATTGTATTTTAAACAGTATTTGAAACTGCATTCACTGACATGACGCAATTACCACTGGTTAAATTCAATCGTTTATCAAAACTGTACTTTATCGATATTTCATTTTTACCCAAAAACACATTCATTTCGTCAGTCGTGAAAAATATGTATTGCACACAATTCCTCCACGATACAAGGTAAGAAACGCGTATTTCCAGTCAACATCCACACCTTGAAAATAATCCACTGTTGAGCACGATGCACTGTTGCCACATAAACCTTGTGCAAGATACATGAAACCCAAGTGTTCTTAACTAGCAATATATATTTTATTTAAACCAATCGTCCAGATTAAAAAAGAAACGTATTCTCCAAACGAATCATCATTAGAATCCATGACTACTCAACGTCGAGATTATCAGGCATGGCCAGGCGTAGCTCCACCAAAACGTCGTGAGCTTCAGCCATGGGTGAGCACATCTGGATCCTTTGATGGATCGACTACAACAAAGACCGACTATGTTGGATTTCCTCTTCCTCCTCATTATGTGCGTCGTCAACAGCCCTATGTCAAATCGGATGTCAAGTTTGAGGGGTTGTCCACACAAACTAATGATTTTCAAAAATGGCCTGTTACTAATATTCCTACTCGTCGCAAGGCTGCACCTAGTCCAGTTGTTAGTCAAGAAGACCGGCAAGTTATTAATTGGCTGTATTAAAGTTGACTCGATACATGGTGCATACCATGAAATTGAAATCCATTCAACTTGATGCTAAACTTGAATATTTAATGATTGTATCTAGTGATTTTCAATCCACGACGGCATCATCATATATTGAGCATCAAATTAAACGTGAATTGGTAAGCTGCCTATTTTTGTTACTATAATCTATTCAATTGTATTATCAATGTATATGATTGATTTGAAATCAACACATTTGTAAATACCATGAATGAATTTTTCAACAACTCATCTAGGTTCGAGCACCTCAAACTCGCACCACTGACAGTAATAATAAGTTTGAAACAATCTCAACAACTAAAGAAGCATTCCAAGTATGGAATCTTCCTCCTCGTTATCAGCGCCATAAAGCCGAGTATCATCCCAGTAGCGCAGGCTTTGATGGACAAACGACTTACAAGGATACGTTTTCACCCAAAACTGCAGAACGCTATATTCACCCAACACCTACATATGTTCCAAACAGTGCCAAGTTTGAAGGAACTAGCACAAACAAGTCAGACTATCTTCCAACAGGTCAGATTTTGCGTTGCAAAGACTTTCGTCCAAGGAACGTTTATGTTGCAAGTGCCGACGATCGTGATTTTGTGAGTACGACGCGTGGACATCATACACCCAAACCACTTCATCATTGTGCTGCAACAGATTGGGTCAAGGCGGGAGTTGTTAGTAATCAGGATGGACATGTTCGCATGGTAGCACAATCCTAATTTCAAGCTAATACATGGCGAATTAGGGGTGAAATACTTTGAAGTTTAATAACTGCAATAATGGATTGAATAAAACTAATGTTTTATCTCAACTCGACTTGTATGAATTATTTGATGGATAAATTCCAAGTTTTTAATATTTTCATGGAATGATTGGTTGATTTACTAGACAACATGTTTTGAAGTTTGGTCGAGTGACGTGTGTTGTGAAGAATAACTTGTAGTCATTTTATAATCCAAAGTCGTGACTGCAAGACAAAAGTGTTTCATTTTACATGAATGCGAGTGTAATTGTCAGTTTACAGTTTGGAGGATTCAGCAAGTGTAAGCTATAATCACGTGGTAAATCTGTCCAACATTTGAATTTTGTCAGCTTGCAGTAGTTGAAAGTCCTACTTTCATATAGCCATCCAACCACAGTTGAATCTAATCAAATGAGTCTCCTTTACCCACAGCAGAAGCCAAAGCGGAGACAGGCACGACCAGAACTTACAGACGAGCAGAAGCAAGAGATACAGGAAGCTTTTGAGCTGTTTGACACAGACAAGGATAATGCTCTAGATTATCATGAACTCAAGGTCGGACATTTCCATTTTGGATAATTATCAGTCATGAGCAATGATTTGTAATTATTGTGCTGGATCTATATGCAAAGACGGTTTATATACTGCATGCATGATTTGTACCATGTCCGTTTAGAACACTTTTGACGGGCCAATCAACACCTATTTTCTTTGATAATTAACTCATTTGAGATATTAGGTTGCGATGCGTGCACTTGGATTCGATGTTAAAAAGGCTGAAGTCCTTAAAGTCTTGCGGGACTATGATAAAGATAATCAAGGCTTGATTGACTTTGAAGGTTTTAACAAAGTCAGTAAGTTAAATTTGTTTAGTCGATTATATTTCCCTATCTACACCCATTCAATCTGTTGGGTAGTCAACATCTACAGTACAGATTCACTTGCATAATAGATTGATTGAAATGTGTAAATACTGCATGTTTATGGCAGTCAAGACACTGCAGTATTTCCGGCGCATTCCAATTATACTATTCTGCCAAAATGCATTAGGAATAGCTCAAGACTCTGACTATGTGTATATATAGTGACTGAGCGGATTCTTGATCGAGATCCTTTAGAAGAGATTCGTAAAGCGTTTCAATTATTTGACGATGATGGAACAGGCAAGATTTCACTTCGCAATCTCCGTCGTGTTGCAAAAGAGATTGGTGAGAGTTTGGATGATGAGGAGCTGCAAGCCATGATTGATGAGTTTGATTTGGACCAAGATGGCGAAAGTAGGTTATCTTTGAAAGTTTTGATAATTTATAGTCGACTAGTTGAATTTCGTGTATTTCAAAGCCGAGTCAATTCTAAGCCAGTATATTACCCACTATTAATTATCTAGTCAACGAGCAAGAGTTTATTGGGATTATGACGGATGCGAATGAATAAAGTACTTGACCGAACCAGTTGAGGTTTGAACACAAGCATTTCAGAAGAAATGAATGAGATTCAAGTGACAATCCGATATCAGCAAATATTGCTTTACAGGCTCAAGCGAAACTGTAATTTGGCCAAAAATAAATATTTAAAGCGTGTCCGAATTTTGAGATTTAAAGTTCAATCATTGCTGGATAGCAACCAACTCTTGAGCGTATTGACAATCCAAGGCTCAATAAAAACCATTTAACATGTTATCTCATATCCATCCTTCCGATTCACCTCAAGTAGTAACTGAGCAAGAAACTCTTCCTCGATTGGTCATTTCAAAGATTGTTCAGCGCAACTTCAAATCCTATGCTGGCATTATCGAAATCGGCCCTTTCCACAAGGTGTATTCTATGTTGTGCTTACATTGTAAAAGATACTCGACTGGCTATATTTTATTTGGCCGATTCAGCTGAAACCCTGCTAAACTGTAATCAATCACCTTTTCATCACACATCTAGTCATTCACTTCCATTGTCGGACCAAACGGTTCTGGGAAATCAAATGTCATTGATTCGCTGTTGTTTGTGTTTGGTTTCAAGGCCAAGAAACTACGACAAGGAAAACTGTCCGATTTGATTCACAATTCTGCCACTTATCCAAATCTTACTTCTTGTGCTGTCGAAGTCCATTTTCAAGAAATCATCGATTTGGTATGCAGATTTGACGGTCTTGTTTTTACTGAAATTTACTTGGACGAGACCACGTAGATGTGCATTTTAAATGCAATACCAGTATTGATTCTGTCTTGTTTTTTTCAAACTCAACTATAGCCTGGTCCGGATGCATACGATGTTGTGCCAAATTCCCAAATCGTCGTCTCTCGTGTTGTTGAAAAGAGTGATCAAGGAGGTAAAAAATCAGAAAAGAGTATTTATTACATCAATGGACGTACAAGTTCATATACCCAAGCAACTCAACTACTTAAAGGAAAGGGTATTGATCTGGACCACAAGCGATTTTTAATTCTTCAGGTGTAGATGAATGTTTTTAATAGAACCATATTGTAAGCTAGACACAGGTCTAATATTGCAGACATGTCTAGGGTGAAGTTGAATCTATCGCGCTGATGAAGCCAAAAGCAATGAACGAACACGAAGACGGTTTGCTTGAGTATCTTGAAGACATTATCGAAACGTCTCATTACAAGCAAGCTATTGATGACTCTAGCAAGATTCTTGAAGAGTGCTCACAGGAGCGAGAAGAGAAACTGCAAAGACTCAAAATTATTCAGGGAGAAAAAGAAACTCTTGAAGTAAGACACCATTTATTTAATTATGACTATGATGATATAATATTAAAGCTCTGCACTTTCCAAAATTAAAACTGTCTACATTTCTTTAATTTAGGATAAGAAACAGGATGCGTTGGAATATATTCAAACCGAAAACATGATTGCGTTTTACAAGAACCAAATCTACCAACACGCTATTCTTAATGATGAGCAGGATATTTCCAATCTAACTACCCAGCTTGTAAGATGCATCATTAATTTGTCGAGTTTTGTGCGCATCAAGTTTTGATTTACATGATTATGTTGTATAGGGTGAAACAAAGGAGCAAGTGGAACAGGAAAAAACCGCTTTTTCAACCCTTACTATAGAGGCCGAGTCTCTTGAAAAAACCTACAAAAAGCGTCAACAAGGCTGCAAGGTATGCGAATAATTCAAATGCCTGCACATTAGTGCGAAAGGAAGATTGATGGTTGTCTCATTACATTTTATTAGGAACTTGAGGAACAAGCCAAGTCTGCCAAGAACGATCTGCAAAAGTTTGACAGAGCCGAGATTGAGTTGAAAGAAAAAGAAAGACATTTGAACCAAAAACGCAAAAAACTATCCAAATCTCTTGAGCAGGTGTGTTGGATTTTAATGTTTTGCTAATCTCTAGTGTTATTGCCAAAGCTTCAACTTGGCTAGTGCATTCATTCTGATTCAACTGTAATTATGATTATGTTAAATAGGATACGTTTAAGCAAACAGAGAATAGTACGTGGGTTGGTAATTTTCAACACGATTTAGACAAGGCGCACAAAGAGGCAGAAAGTTTAAATTGTCAACTGCAAGAAGAGTCGGCGAGTTTAGAGTCAATTCGTCAGAGTCTTCAAGGTAAAAGCACTAGCATAATACTTGCTCAGTAGTTTAAACACTTTTGGATCACTAATTTGAATTGTATTGCCACACTAGGCAAGACTGATGGGTTTCAAAAACAAATTGAAGCACTGCAGCTGCAACTTGTTCCATGGAATGAAAAGATTGATGCTGCCCAAGCAGAGCTGGGGGTTTCTACTTCAGAACTATCAATTGTCAAGGAAAAACTCAATGAGCGTCAGCATGCCATTGAATCTGCAACTGCAGCTGTTACCAGCTATGAACAATCCTTGGAAGTTAAAGATCAGGAAATGATACGCATTAAGCAAGAATTACATTCTGAGAAAATCGCGCTTGCCAAAACCGAATCTGCATTACAGACAACAAAAGACGACCAAACCAATGCCAATTTAAAAGTGGCTGCAGCCCGACAGAAATGCAATGATACGCGTGCAGCTCTTCAGTCTGCCGAATCTCGCAACAGCATTCACAAAAGCCTTATGCGTGAAAGTGAATGTGGTAACATTCCTGGAATTTGTGGTCGTTTAGGCGATCTTGGTGTAATTGATGACAAGTACGATATTGCCATTACAACTGCATGTGGCGCACTTGATTCTATTATTGTAGAAACTGTAGAAGCCGGTCAAAAGTGTATTGAACATCTCAAGCGCTACAGTTTGGGCAAGGCAACTTTTATTTGTCTAGACAAGCTTCGCAATTGGGATATGTCTCCGATTGCTACACCTGAAAATGTGCCTCGTTTGTTTGATTTGGTAAAACCAAAAGAAAAACGATTTGCACCTGCTTTTTACCAGGTACTTTCGGATACTTTGGTTGCAACCAATTTAGAGCATGCAAATCGTATTGCATATGGCAAAAAACGGTTCCGTACTGTTACTCTTGATGGTCAACTTGTAGAAAAATCTGGCGCCATGACTGGTGGAGGTTCACGTCCTCAGCGCGGTGGTATGTCGTCTAAATATGCATTGGTTGATTCAAAAGAAGTTTCACCGACCAAGCTGATTGAGTTTGAGAAGATATACAATGACGCCGAAATTGCACTGAGAGAAATCATACTGAAAATTCAGAAATTGGAAGCTCGGCAGCATGAACAAACCAAAACTATTCAAGACCTTACCATCCAGCTTTCTAAGCTTGATATTGATGTGCAGTCTATTCAGATTCAACTTCAGGATGCAAAGTCACATTTGGAAACTACCCAGTAAGTTGATTACTTTAATCTAGTGATATTCAAAACAATGTAAACTAGTGCTTTTCTAAATACTGCTGATCACTAAAACATAACATAGAAACCTGCACGGCCCCAGCACCAAAGATATTGAGCGTGCATCTACCTTGGAAACTGCCACTAAACACTTGCAATCCAAGCTTGAAACATATCAGCAGTCTGCTGCTGTATTCGAGCAGAAAAGACTAGCTCTTCAAGAAGAAATTTTGGATATTGGAGGAATTAAACTTCGCAGCCAAAAAGCAAAAGTAGAGAGTATCAGTGACCAAATTGAAGCAGTGTCTTGCAAAATCACAAAACTTCAAGCAGAAAAAGGATCGCGAGAGGCTTCCATTAGAAAGCTTGATAAAAGTATTGCCAAAAATGAGATTGAGATTTCAGAGATAGATGGAGAAATCAACGAGACAAAGGAAATTTTTCAGAAACAAATGAATGCTGCTCAAGCTGTCAAATTGCGTATTCAAGAGGCTCAAAAGGTAAATACATGATTAGTCATATATTTTATGCTTTGACTATATACAATACAAGCATGTGTAAAACTAAAATTGGGTTTGTCATGTACAGCATTTAAATGACTCGGTGATTGAACTTGAAGAGATGACACTGGCTCGGGACGAAGTCATTTCTAGATTAAATAGTAGTCGTAGCAACCAGGTTAATTTCTTTTGTATTGCTTTTCAAAACTATTGTTGGATTGTTACTGACTCTGCATGCACAACTGTCATTACGTAGGTGGAACTCAAAGCGAAATTGACCGAGCTAGCGCAAACATTGACGGTTAAGCAGCGAAATTTTAAATCTGTCAAAGAAAGTTTGGAAAAGTTGTCGTTGCAGCTTACAGGGTAACACCATTGTTTGATTTTAACTCTTGCATGCTAGATTGATGCGACTATATAGCTAATTATGCTTGATGCAGTTTTGAAAATGAGGAGGATATTGAAGAGTTGCCAAAATATTCTTCAAAAGAGATTGCGAATCTTGACGTTGAGCATGCCAAAGCCGAGACGGCGAGGCTTGAAGGTGTGCTACACTTTGTTTAATTTTATATTTATTGAAATAGCTCATGATTTATTGACCATTGATACAGCCAAACTGAAAAAAATGATGCCCAAACTTGGGGTTTTGAACGAATACCGTGTCAAAATGGAGTTGTATATGAGCCGCACAAACGATCTTGATGCAATTACTGCCAAGCGTGATGCAATCAAACAAGCATATGACGACCTGCGTAAGCGAAGGCTTGAGGAATTTATGGCTGGCTTTACTATTATCTCACAAAAACTGAAAGAGATGTACCAGGTAAATATATTATGTTTTGGATATATAGCTTGCACCGAAATTCGAGTCTTATGATTTTTATCCTAGATGATTACCATGGGTGGAAATGCCGAGCTCGAGCTTGTTGACAGCTTGGATCCGTTTTCAGAAGGTGTAATTTTTAGTGTCATGCCGCCTAAAAAAAGCTGGAAAAATATTGCAAACCTTTCTGGTGGTGAAAAGGCAAGTTGACTGCCTCTATATTAGTATTTCAATAGCTTGAACGTGAATTACTGTATACACGGTCTGACTTGCAATTTAAAACTGAATACTGCCATACTAACTTTTTGAATCTGCGTGGTTGGAATATAGACTCTTAGCTCTCTTGCATTGGTGTTTGCACTTCATCATTTTAAACCTACTCCATTATATGTCATGGACGAAATTGATGCTGCTTTGGATTTTCGAAACGTTTCCATTGTTGCAAACTATATCAAGCAGCGTACAAAAAATGCCCAGTTTATCATTATTAGTTTGCGTAACAATATGTTTGAGCTTGCTGATCGATTAGTTGGTGTTTACAAGGTAATATTAAATATTTTGAATATCCGGCATACTCGTTTAAATAACCAAGTGTTGTATTTTAGACAAACGATGGCTCAAAAAGCGTTACAATTGATCCTCGGCGTATTGCAATGGAAACTGCTGCACATTGACAATAAATCTATTTTCCATTGAGAAAAGACAGTTTGAAAATATTTTTGGCAAGAATTGATTAGTTTGCAAGATCTAGTCAATAGCATACAAAACTGACCGAATTTTTCCTGGTGATTGACATGTACAATCACTGTTTTTTGAACTAGATTACGAGCGTATCTGGGATTATAAAACACAGCATGATTTGATTAACAACATCAGAACTCAATATCTGGTGATTGTATAATGTATGAATATGAAAGAAAGGATTATAAACATTAATGATGAACTTGTTTATTGAATGTTTAACAAGATATTACAACAGATATTTAGCCATCATCTGAATCATTACAAGATGAATTCAAAAGTACATTTTACGTGAATACGATTGTAATGTGTGGGTTTGTCAATGTATAATAAATACATTCAAACATTAATCTATAATCGACGATTGAATTTTGTTATACAGCATCGAATAGTGCAAACCCCTACTTGTATCATCAAGCCATTTCAATTGCATCGCCTTGCTACACTTCCCGCTCGACTCCTCTCTACTAAAATGACGACCGCTTCCAAGGATATTGGTTGGGAATCCTATGATCCTGAACAGGTAAAACTAAAAATGCATTCATCTAACTATAATCTACTAATATCAAATATGACATGGATTGCAATCATGAGTAGATCAGACTCATGAGTGAACAGTGCATTGTGGTAGATCGAAATGATGTTCCTATTCGAGGAGGATCAAAAAAAGAATGCAAGTTGTATGATGGGAAGCAGTGTGATGGTTTGACAACAATACTAACCATATAATATAAAGGCCATTTGATGGAGAACATTGACAATGGACTGCTGCATAGAGCATTCAGTGTGTTTATTTTTAGTGAGGATGGAAGACTGTTGCTCCAGCAGAGAGCTGATGAGAAGATTACCTTTCCAGGATACTTCACCAACACTTGTTGCTCTCATCCACTAATGATACAGGACGAGATGGAAGAGGAGCAGCAGATGGGTGCTCGCAGGGCTGCTCAGAGAAAACTCATGCATGAGATGGGCATTGAACCCCATCAGGTTCCTCTAGATAAAATCCACTTTCTCACTCGCATTCACTACCTTGCACCCTCGGATGGCCTGTGGGGTGAGCATGAGATCGACTACATCTTTATTTTCCAAGGCCCTGTAACCGTCAATGCCAATCCCAATGAAGTCAAATCCTTCCGATATGTCACTAAAGATGAGCTGAAAACAATGTTTGAAACGGCTGCCGACACTGGCATTCAGATCACTCCTTGGTTTAAACTTATTGTCGAGACTTTTCTATATAAATGGTGGGATAATCTCGACAAGCTGTCTGCCATGAAGGATGCTGCCACCATTCATCGACTGTAGATTTGCTGCTTGCATTGGATTCACCATTTGATTGTACGCATTCGTGTATTTCAAGTTTTGGTCCGACTTTGCGGATGTTTTAATTTTATTCTACAACAAAATGAATGTCTGTTTTCCTATATAGTCTTAAATAATACGTGATCGTAGTTGAATAGAACTGCTTTCAGTTATCCAGCCTCATTGATTGAATCCTGTTGCTCGACTCTCTATTCGATATATTTGATGAATCTTTCTTGCTACGAGAATAAGCACTGGCGTGTGCAGAGTTTCCATTGTTCAAATTATCATGCTGGTGTACATGTTTAGATACTCTACCTCCGCTCTTGACAGTGGTTTTGGCACCACTCTTGATGGCAGCCTGTAGACTAGATCGACCAAAATGCGGCGATACAGTCAGCCTTTTACTCATCTCCGCATACTTGGTCGTGATTGGCAAAAATGCATCTCCAAACCGTCTAAACTTGGCATCATCAACTCCATGCACATTCAAAAGCCCGCTGATCGTATCTGGCATCTTTTCCGCCATTGACTTTAACACTGCATCCACAAACACGGTCGAGGGCATCACTCCCAATCTGCCCACCAATTCATTACGCTTTTGAATCAATTCTTGAAAACATTGGTCACGAAGAGTTTGGATTTCTTGTGAGATGGCTGATGCTTTTTTAGGCTTACTTTTAGATGGTGTGTTGGCAGTTGGTTCAAAATCCACATCAATCGACTCTTCTTGAAACAAATCTGCCATAATGTCCATATCGTCATATATGTTTTCATCATGTTGCTCCATGCTAGTTTTTTTGGATGTAGCAGCGTTTCGTTTAGATACAGCTGCTGTAGAATGAGTTGGCTTGGTATTGGATTTTTTTGATATTGAAAGGTCTTGCTTTTGCATATGTGTTTTTTGTGTTTTCATATTGTCGGCTTCGTCTATAAATGCAAAATTGAGTTTTTGACGTCCGTTAAGCACCAAATTCGCTTGTCGTCCCAACTACAAAGTGAATCAAATAGATTAGCAAAAGGCTAGAAATAAAACAGCTCAAATACTGAATACACCCTATAGCAATCACCTTGACATAGCCACTTGAAAACCCACTAGCATTAAACTCGCACCGCTCTACCAGCACATCTCTTGATACTAGGAAATGAAATAGTCGTTCTACCGTGGTGCGAGTATACATTCTGCCCACGCCATAGCCCTCAATCTGATCATGCATCATACTCATAATCTTTGCTTGCTTTGACCCACGAAAAATATCCACACAGTGGTTAATTGTAATTTTCTGGTTCTGAATCGCTTGAACAATCTTGATGATACTTTTAGTTATTTCTGTGATATCTTTCACAGTAGCACCGCCCTCTCTTTGGCAATTATCACACGTCTGTCTACATTGGGACTTGTCAAACCGCTCACCAAAATACGCTAATACCTGCTGTCTTCGACAATCTACCAAATTTTCACAGTAGGAAATTATTTGTCGAAGGTTATTTCGCTGACGTTCCTTTTGTTCATAATTGCCTTCGCCATTCTCAATCAAGAAATCAATGGTAGATTTATCCTTGTATGCATAGTACAAGATACACATGGAATCTTTTCCATCCCGGCCAGCACGTCCTGTTTCTTGGTAGTATCCTTCAAGACTTTGTGGAATGGAGTAGTGGATAACAAATCGTACATCTCCTTTATCAATCCCCATTCCAAAAGCAATTGTAGCAACAATGATATGGACACTGTTGGTTGCCCAAGCTGTTTGAATACGGCTTCGATCCTCCTTATCCAACCCAGCATGGTAAAACGCAGCCTTGATTCCCAACTTGCATAATTTCGCCGATGTGGCTTCGCAAGCCTTTCGTGATGAGCAATAGATAATCCCTGATGCATTTGGATAAAACGTTTTAATAAACGCCGTAATGTCTGCGTCCAACCCTTTATCTTTTTTTCGAACATCATATCGCAAATTAGATCGATTGAAAGATTGTTGAAATTTCGCACACTGTGGGATATTGAGAACTTTGATGATATCCATCTTAACTTTGTCATTGGCTGTGGCCGTGAGAGCAATAATGGGTACAGTTGGATATTGTACTCGCAGCGTCGAAAGCTCTTTATAGTCTGGACGAAAATCGTGTCCCCACTGGCTCACACAATGCGCTTCATCGACAACAAATCGAGCAAGACGACCACGTCGAAACAAATCGTTTAAAGCCGTCTTGAACTGCCCCGATCGCATCACAAGTTCAGGTGTAACGTATATCATTTTAGGTGGTAGTGGCTCTTTGCGTAATTCGTCGTATGCCCATCGTTTATCTTCTGCACTCATATCTGAACTGATGGCTATTGCAAGAATGTTGAGTTGTACTAAACGGGAAACTTGATCTTGAATAAGCGACAACAGGGGTGATATAACTACTGTCAAGCCTGTGGTTTTCCCTGTTGTGCAGCATGCTGGAAGCTGATAGCAAAGACTCTTTCCACCACCTGTTGGCATTAGAATAAAACAGTCAATGCTATTAAGCGTGGCATTAATGGATTCAAGTTGATTTTGGCGGAAATCTGTAAGATGAAATACTTCTTGAAGAACTTTAAATACTTGCTTTGTCCATGGAAAGGTCTGGCGAGTGTCGTAAATTGTGTTTGGGATTTTTGATGACAAAGCAACCGTTGAGATTGATGGATCGGGCATTTGAATAGCAGGTTGATGGGCTGATGAATTCATGGTTGAAAAGGCTGACCCTATCCCACCACCATTTAAATTTGATAGCGCCGTAGATTGAACATCCACACTCGTCAAATCTATGTGTGCGGGCATATATGGCTGTGATACGGCAGTATAGTCTGCTGCTGACATGCTCACCACCGAGGTATTAGACATGAGTATATTTTTGACCAGATTGGATTCCATTCGACCATAATTACCAACGACGCCCATTGATTGACTGGCGTTATTGATACCGTGCCTTTTACTATAGTCTTTCTCGGCCTGCACTCGACTGATTTCGTATATGCCATCATCAGTGAAATCAGAGTACATTTCGTGATCAAATGCGTCTGCTATAGCAGAACTTACAGACGAACTCGATAGACGTTGAATTGCTTCAATATTAGAATTTGATTGAGCTTGTAAAGGGATATATAATGAAGTCGACTGATTTGCTGTAGTAGATGCATGTTCTGTAAATCCAGGCAATGATTGATTCTGTAGTATACTTGTAACAGGATTGATATCAGACTCGGGTATTCCTAACGCGGCATTTAACGCATCTAGTTTTGTTTTAATTTCAGCTCTGTCCAGTGATGAAAACCAAATAAATATTAATTATTTTAACAATAATGGTAGCCTATTCAACATCAAAATAATATATTACCTTGTTATAATCAACTTTTCTATGTCAGTGATATTATTCGATCCAGCGTCAGGCAAGATTGCATTGGCATGTTGCATTATCAACATGTCACATAGTTGGATTGATACTTGACTGTAATTTGCATACGTGGCAGCTTTAAGAGTGTGTAGATCACTCACTGGTAACTAATTAACCATCAAGATAAATTAAATGTATTTTAAGTCAATGAATATTGAGATACCAGACAGTTGAAATTAGGTTTCATTCTATCGTCAACTCACCATCATGTATGGATTTCTGGAATTAATAGGTACTGAGGTTGTTGAGTGAGAAGCTGTGGCCGATCCAGAAGACGGAAGCATGCATTGGGTTATATTTTTAGTGACACTATCAGCAGGTTGCGCGTGTGGAGGTCTTGCAGATTCTAATATGCTTTGACAAGCCAATTCATCCTTGAGATTCACAGTGAATACAACATCATTAAAACATGAACAAAGACAGCACAATACCGTGCATATTCATCGATAAAGCAATCAACATACCAGATCATTTACATCAAATTCGTCTTCAAATAGATCATAATCAAAGTTGTCCAAGATCATTTCATTCGTAACTTTCATTCTTGGTTTGTCGTTTAGCTCCGTATTTGCTTTACCTATTTTATCTGTTTTATCGCCAAGTGTACCCACTACTACAGATGCGTTAGCCGAGGACTTGGATGCGTTTTGAGCAATGTTTATTGGCGGTTTAGTATTTCCTTTGTTGATGGTTGAAGCAAAAGTCTCAATAGTATCAATGCAAGTGGGAGGATCAGAAGTAGTCTGTAGTTGAATGGGTGGGTATTGAATCACGGACGAATCCGAGTTGCTCAATGACCGTGATCGTTTGAATGGTTCGATTTTTGTCAATGGATAGGCAGTTTTATCTAAACAATATCCAAACAGAATGTATCAGTCAGACCACATTACCGTGCCAGTACAACAATACACATTAATAACAAGTAAACATCAGTTTGTATTAAATGTACCTTTTGTTAGATTGACTAGATGGGATGTAGTGTCTGCACTGACAGTAAGATCTAAAGTTTCATTAAGAATCCGTTTTAATGGCAACTTTCCTGGAGATTCGATTTCCAATTGATTTCCAATGGCATGTACAACAGTAGTCGATGATAAAGACGGAAGTAGTGGAACACAGTCTAATGGCTGAGCAGTCGATACACTATTGGAGTCTTGAATATCAGGTTTGGATCTAGGGTCGAGTTTCGTATGAGAAGCCATGTAATCATTCGTGATGTCCATACAATCATCAATCATTGAACTCGTAGTTGTTGATGATATCGGCTGAGCAATAGCACAAGTGTTCTATTTATCAAGGTTTATGAATATATAAATTCATTACGATGTGATATAGACATTAATGTTAATAAGTTTGGATAAAAACCATGCAACGTTAGAATCGGACAACTATAAAGTGCAAGGCAACATACAGCACGCTGAGTTGGTTTGAAAGTAGATATGTTAAAATCATTGCTTTTTAAAGGAATACGATTGTATGAAGAAGGAATACAAGCAGGTTTGAATCTAGGCTTAAAACATGTAGATTGCTGGGCAGTATCGGTAGATGCAGTGACGGACAGCAGCTGTTTTGGCTGTAATTCCAAATTATTGGCAACTGGCTGATGCATGAATTCGCCAATCAAAACAACCCAAAAATTTGGCATTTTGTAACTGTTTAAACCACGTGATTTATCCTGTCAGACTCTGCTCAACAGTGAGCATTTGGTCAATCCAAAACACTGCTGTTGATAGTAGATTCGAGTGTGGTTGGTGTCATCATGAGGTTTCAACAGGCAATGCAATTGGAAAAACATCGGGCTGTTTTGGACGACCGGAGAGAAGAACAGGACAAGCTGTTTGTGCCTACTAGAGAAGACATTCATCAAATCTACTCGCTCAACAAGGTATTGATTACTCTGAATGCAAGCACGAATAATAACTGACTGGCTATTATATATTTAATCAGGCATGGCATGATCCACAGACTCTGTCACTACTACGCATTCTCAGTCTAGTCAAGGATAAAGTTCATCAGAGAGTAGCCGTTACTACTGTAGCTGGATCTACTAATAGTCTTACAGTCCCAGCCACTGACAATGCAACTCCTGCTTCAGCAAGTCATCATTATCATCATCGACCCGCAGCTACATTCTCAATTCATTCGTCTCCTCATAGTGTTGCCAGTCAAAATGGAATGCCACATTCGCTCACAGCTAACGACAATAGAGATGAGAGCGGGAGGAAACCCCAAAGGAAATAAATTGTCAGCAACCATCAATGTGTGTTTGAACAAGTACTTGCATAAAATTGATTCAACCGCACTTTGTGTGTGGTTGAGTTGGGCTGCTGTTCTTTGCAAATATCGGTATATTGTTGATATGAATGCTAGATCGTCCATCGATCGTGTTTCTTGTACCACGATAACAATCTGACCTATTGACACGGACAGTTTCCTAAACGATCTACTGTTTCTCTCGATTAAATATAGGATAATGTCATCCTTGATCTTGTTCTGATGCAAGAGTATTGGTGTTTCCCTATATTAGTCTGTATATTAACCTAAAACGATCGTGCAGTTTCAGAGAATTCATGTTTTTAAATGCTGCAACAATCTGATGCCATCAAAATGTTCTCAATATGAGAAACTGGGCCATAAAATATAAATAAATATTATCGTCCCGTTTTCATTCCTTTTGTTTTTGGCTGCAGATGTATTCACGTAAATATAATACCACCTCGCAGTCGTTGCTTTAGAATAAACAATCAACTATTCACTCCAGTTTCCTATTACGCATTACTTGTTCAATAAGCAAATCGTTTGTCATACGATGCAAACCATAATGTGTACTGAGATTGTCTTGATATAACCATACATTGTGAAACCATCAGATTCACAACAATTCATATATTGAGTTTTTAAATTCGTATCAACTCATCTTTGCTGTATTCTAATCTCGAACACGTTTGCAAACTAATTCAAGACAATACAGTTCAGTAAATACGGCGAGAATCTGCTGTTTATGCAATCTATTTAACGATCCATTTTACGTGAATGCCTTTGTAAGCACTCATAATAATCAGACATCTTATAAGCTGAAATACCAACAAAACGTTCTAAAGTGCTTTTCACCTCGCAAATACTCTCGAGCGGATTCATTAAAAATCATCATCAGTTGTGCCCTCAATTTTGAATCGATAAACAGGAGATGAATCCAGCCGTATCTTCTACTAATGCTACCATCAGCAGTCGTGTAGCTCAATTGCAGACCCGGCCTGATTGCATTCGCAACATTTGCATTCTAGCACATGTGGATCATGGTAGCTCATGCATGCTTCTTGCTATAAAGTGATTTCATCTCTTCTACTGTCATTGACGACAATGTATATCAATAGGCAAGACAACACTTTCTGATGGGTTGTTGTCATCCAATGGCATCATCAGTTCAAAGCTGTCAGGTAAAGTAAGGTATTTGGACTCTCGACCCGATGAGCAGGAACGAGGCATTACAATGAAGTCCAGCGGTGTTTCACTGCTTTTTAATGTCATGCAGCGAGTAAAGTGTCCGTCTGGAAATGCAAATGAGTTTGGTATGCACTACTGCAATCTTGTCAAGTATTATCTGGATTTCATTGTTATAGGCAGCAAAACAGTCGATTTTCCAAAACTAATTCTAATCGAATCTCTTGCGATTGACCAACTAATTAGAAACCAAGACAAATGAGTATCTCATTAATCTGATCGATTCGCCCGGTCATGTCGATTTCTCTTCGGAAGTATCAACAGCATCTCGATTGTGCGATGGAGGTCTTGTTCTTGTGGATGTCGTTGAAGGTGTTTGCACTCAGGTATTAAAGCTCGATGTATTTTTGCAATCTATACTCGGTTTAGTAACTCGAGTACAATTATTTATCAATGTTTAGACACATACAGTACTTCGCCAGGCATGGACCGATAAAGTCAAGCCCATCCTTGTTCTTAACAAAATTGACCGTCTTATAACAGAGCTTAAAATGACACCATCGGAAGCATATACTCAACTCAACCAAATTCTTGAACAAGTGAATGCTGTTCTTGGAAGCTTTTACTCTGAAGCGCTGATGAAGGATGCTACAAAGAAATACGAGGCAAAAGTAGCTTTGGGAGATAATTTCGATATAGATGTTGGTATTGATGATGCTACATGTGATACCGATCAAGTGGATGCTCCAGATATGGATGATTCAGATATCTATTTTTCTCCAGAAAAGGGAAATGTAATTTTTGCAAGTTCCCTTGACGGTTGGGCCTTTCGGTAAGTTCCCAGTATTGATTATATATGTTTTACTCAAACTATAACAGCCATACACTCTTGCAATCTTAGTGTAAGCCAGTTTGCTCAAATGTACGCGGCTAAACTCGGAGTCAAGGAATCCATGCTGAACAAAGTCATTTGGGGCGACTTTTATTTGGATTCAAAAGCCAAAAAAGTGATTGGCAGAAAGAAACTTTGTGGCAGATTGTTGAAACCACTGTTTGTTCAGTTTGTTTTGGATAATATCTGGGCTGTATACCACGCCGTCATTATAAGCCAGTAAGTATCACAACTTGTGAGATAACTGCACAGATGAATTGCGTCTTGTTATATCAATTTCTGACTTTGAAAATGCGCTTATTGTTGTAATCATAATGTTGGATGACACAGTGATCGTGAAAAAATCGAAAAGATTGTCAAGACCATCAATGTCACGATTCTTCCACGCGATCTCAGATCCAAGGATTTAAAGGCTCTTGCTCAAAATATTATGACACAGTGGCTGCCTTTATCTAAAGCTGTCCTGTTGGCTGTGGTTCAACATATCCCCTCTCCTGCAGTTGCACAGGCTGATCGCCTTCCACAGATTTTGTATCCAGATGATGCGACATCTGCAGCGGCTCACCTTCAAACAGATACACCATCAAGTGGCTTATCAACACCAATCCAAAAACTCACTACATCCATGGAACAGTTGCAGTTTGCTACAGATCGCGAGGTACTTGATAAAGCAGTTTATGCTTGTAATGCTTCCACAGACGCCCCAGTGGTAGTCTATATCAGCAAAATGTTTAGCGTTTCTCGAAATTCGCTACCTAAACTTGGAAAACAATCTTCAATAGACCCAGATACAATGTTGTTGCGCCGTCAAGAGATTATTCGAAAAAGTCGAGCATTAGATCGTGAAAAGGCCATTGCTGGCATAGATGATGCATCGCTTGGATTAAACAATACTATGGATAAGCCAACAATATTTCAACTAAACTCTAGCCATGCATCGTCTACAAATGACTCATTCAGCCACTTAGAGAACGATGAAGTACTTGTCGGGTTTGCACGAATCTACTCTGGAACAATCCGTGTGGGTCAAACCCTAAATGTTTTGGGGCCTAAATACAATCCACTATTCACTGATACAAACAACTCTGCGTACTATTCTACAGCAACTGTTGAACGTCTTTTCCTCATGATGGGTCGAGACTTTGAGGATTTAGATTGCGTTCCTGCTGGAAACGTGTTTGGAATTCTTGGTCTTCAAGACCATGTGCTCAAAAACGCAACAGTGAGCTCCACCTTAGCTTGTCCAAGTATGGCTGGTGTAAAAACAGACATAAAACCAATTGTAAGAGTGGCACTGGAACCAGTTGATCCTACACAGATGAAGCAGCTAGTACACGGATTAGATATGTTGAATCGTGCCGACCCATGTGTTGAAGTTATTCTTGAATCTACTGGCGAAAACGTGATTGTATGTGCTGGAGAGCTACATCTAGAGGTAAGTCAATATTGGCTATGGAGTATACCGTGTGGATTTATGTCGTGTGGGAATTTACAGATTTATTTGACTGCATTAGAGATGTTTAAGAGATTTGCGTGAGCGATTTTCACGGATCCAAATTCAGGCATCACCACCGATTGTACCATTTCGTGAAACACTTTCCATTTTTCCACGTATTGTGCAACAATCAGTCTCGATTCAGCCGGAAGATACTGTGCAAGCACCAAGCACATTATTCAATACTGAGTCGTCAATGCCGTTACCCATTGGCACAGTAATGCAAGAAACCAAAAATAAGATGTGCGGACTAAAGTTGCGTGCAGTGCCATTACCGCCTATTGTACGCGACTTTCTTGCTAAATCAGTCGGGAGAGTGCAGATTATTGATGCAATGAAAGACACACAAAAGCGTGGAGAGGCTCTGCAGGAATTTGAGTTGGAGTTGAAGGCTAGTATGGATCATGCTATCAAAGAAGGCGATGGTGTGGTTTCCAAGGTTGACTGGAATCAGATTCTTCAAGGGTGTGTATGCCAAATATTTTTTATGAAAAGCAATGCAAATCTGTACATTGTGATGCAATATGCTAACTGATTTTTAGAATCGTTTGCTTTGGACCCAAGGGTATTGGATCAAACATCTTGTCATGCACAGCTCAAACATACAGCATGAACAAGTACGTATTTATTTACTTTGCATATAATTTTTTTGATTTTTAGTATTATATATCTAATACTAGTCTCAATTGCAATGGTGTTTTAGGTGGAATCAAACATCTTTTAAAAAGGATTATGGAGAACTAAAACTAGATCAAACAGAAAGCACGCCTACTGAATGGACTTCCAAAAATGCTCGTACAGCCGAATTTGAAAACAGTTTTGTATCTGGATTTCAACTATCTGCTGCTTCAGGCCCACTCTGTGCCGAACCAATGAGTGGTGTTTGCTTTGTGATTGAGGATGTTCAATTTATGACTGCAAGCGAACAAGATGAAGGTATGACTTGGTGATGGTTGGATATAACTGCGTGACTGATGAATACATCTAATATGCCGACATTTGGTATTATAACGTGGACTACTGTAGTTACAAGACATGCTACTCTCCCTGGACAGATCTTAGCCATGATGCGCCAAGCAATGAAACAGTCATTTTTACAGTGGTCGCCAAGACTCATGCTAGCCATGTATTCGTGCAATCTTCAAACTCCGACAGACATCTTAGGCAAAGTGTACGGTGTCCTTAACCGTCGACATGGGCGTATCTTATCTGAGGATTTAAAGGAGGGCACACCGTTTTTTGAAATCATGTCGGATATGCCTGTTGTTGAAAGCTTTGGATTCACTGATGGTTGGTGAACGCGTTGTTTTGCTTTGTATGGATAATAGCCCTGTATAGAATAATGTGGTCAATCTAACATGAAAACTAACGGATTCTAGAGCTTCGAACAAGAACCTCGGGTGCAGCTAGTCCACAATTGATGTTTACAGGGTATGCTGTTTATATACTTTTTAATCTAGTAAACGCTTATTGACATATTGGGGTATATTTTGTTTAGATTCCAAGTACTGGATCAGGATCCATTTTGGGTGCCTACTACAGACGAAGAACTTGAAGATTTGGGCGAAAAAGCCGATCGTGATAATCTTGCCAAAAAGTATATGGATGCAGTTAGAAAACGCAAGGTATGTAGACCTGTGCAATTGTGAAATACATTGGATCCTGCTTCTACTGGACTGTGATGACTGATTTGTACTTTTTTGATACTTGTAGGGGATGTTTACAGAAAAGAAAGTGGTTGAGCATGCCGAAAAACAAAAGACTCTCAAAAACAAATAAATGTTTGGTTTGGGTTAGTTTATTTCAGGACTACACCAATATTGGACATGGATTATTGATGAAATGATAGATTGCAACCCAGTTTATATTAGACAATTTGATATATTATAAATAGATTGGTGATGGTACACATACTGGTGTTCCCATTTTGACTGTATTAGATATCCGTGCCAGCTTTATGGCATACTGTTTTTGGAATCTCGACACGATATGCAGCTTGCATTTCACAAGCAATTTTGTCTGCAACATCGTTGTTGCCAATGTCTCGGTTGGCTTCAATCATCAGATTGTATACCATGCGCAAAAGTCTTTTTTCTTTAGGAAATGCTTGTTGATACTCGCCAAAAAACCACTTGTTGGCACTTGAAATGTCACCAGAAACCACAATCGCTTGGAGATACGCAGTGTGCAGATCCTGCCATCGATTGCCTTGCTTGTCCAGTTGGAGTTGGGTAAGAGCTGCGTCAAACACTTGCTTTGCACCTTGCAGGTCTCCAGAAAACCCGTGAACATGCACAAGACGACCAACCATGACCGCATCAACACGAACACCTCGTCGCTTAGCATCGTCCATGTATTTGAGCGCGCTCGAGAGATCCTTGGACTGGACACACAACTTCAGCAACAGTGAATACAATGACTGTGCGGTAGATTGAGACGTCATATCCACATCGTTCATGACTCCGTGCTGCAGTATCGCATTGGCAAGCTTCAACCCCTTGGCCACATGTCCACTATGAGCATATACACCTAGCATTCCATTCAACAGTCTGACTGCCATGTCCCGTTCAACCTTGACTGCCATTAGCTTCTTTTTTTGTCTATCACTCACTGCAGTCAGCTGCCGAGACCGATGAACCAGATCTGACAGTTCATTCAAAGCACGCTGATAGATTCCTTCTGCATCTGTAACGCGAGCCAAGCGACCATATAGATCCATCACGCACAAATAGGTTTCTAGATCCGGTTGAGCTGCTACCTCTTGACTATCCATACGCTCCCAAATCTTGACACCCTCCATGAGCATCTGCAGATCCTTTTGATTATATGCATGCATGTTCAATACATCATTCCATGTAACAGTCGACACCTTGATATTATTATCCAGCATTTGATTAAACGCCCACATGGTATGCTCCATATCTCTCCACTTGTGGCTACAGCAATGAATATATGACATCCAAAAACTCTCGCTTGGCTTCATGTTTCGTTGTATCATGTATCCAACAATCTCGCCAATTGGCTCGCGGTTTACCACAGGATTGGCAAGCAGCAAATGAAACATGGCATGGTGGTCCTGATAAGTCAACTGATGGATGATATTGTTGACCCGAAGTCGTTCATAAACAGCAAGTGCTTCCAAAGGCATATGATTTTTAACAAAGTCTCGAAAAAGTTCCACCTTTTCCCAACCGGATAGTTTGGATAGTTTGTCTAGATTAAATCTGACGGGTGGTTTGGGAGTCTTTGGAAAGCTATGAGCTGGTTGGAACTGCCTTGGTTTAGAGATGGATGGCGAATCCATGTGTTGAATGGCAGAGGCTGGCTTGAGCTGACTTGATCGATCGGACAATACACCTCGAACAGCAAGTGTCATGACAAGAAAGGGTGTAGAAAAGGGTCGCATAGGAGAGCAACCCACTCTTGCAGTCTGTGATATCAGTCGTAGCATTTTTATCAGATTATTAGAATCGGTAGTTGAACGAATTCAGGTTGACTATCAGGAAAAAAACTTTGGTCAGCGCGACTACGACGATTGCTTGAAATGAGATTTTCAGCAAATGTGCTCGAGCAGACAATAAAGTATTTGCAATTCTTGTTATAAAGTTTTATTGCAAAATTCAATTTTGACAGACTGTCAATTCAGAATATAAATACTCAATCAGCACTTGATAGATTGGATTCTATCGCTGCGCTACAGTTATGAATTGCAAGTAAAACTTGCATTCCAATCGGTTTTGACTAAGCTTGCTGTATTAGATTGTATTAGATTGTATGTCCAATTTACTGTCATGTTCACACAAAATAAACAACTGGACAAGAACATCAAACCACATAATAAACAGCCAATCTTGCAACATGATTGATGTCATCAGATTTACTGCAAAGCATCGTGTCCTTTGAACTTGCTGACAAAGCTGACTGGTATTGTTGGTGGTGATTTGTCATGAAAGCAACAGCTGCATTCCTGAAATGTGCGATCGTTGTTTTGCCAAACTAGATCGCAAACGCATCTGATTCAAGATACAACAAACAAGTTTGCAGACTTGACAGTCGAACCCAATATCTAGATTGCAATGGATAAATCTGCGTTCAAACTTGACGACTGTACAACGTATGGTTGTACCAAAAAAGAATATTGGCTCAAAACTATAGTTTGATTGTGTGCATCATATGATGAATGTCGTGTTTATTGAATCGAGTGTCCATAAAAATCAATTCCCAATAGGACAACACAACGAATGTTTAACCATTGTCTATCAAAGTAAAATGACACCATTGCAAGACAGATACAATGTTCCATTTACGTGAATACGGCTGTAATAAACGGCTTTCCATCCAACTAGATAAACTAACCGAATCAGCAAGTGGACCATCATTTTACAACCATAATGACTCTGGTTCTACGAATAAAGCCATTCCAAGTGTTTAAAACAACTGACAAGGCGTCAGTCAACTTGGAATCCAACAACTGTGAAATGGACACAATAACTTACTATTGGAACACTGAAAACTACATTAACCAGTAGGAATAAAAACAGCCGCATTGAAACTACTTTATTATTCAGCTACTCAAACACTTTCGCCGTGTATATCACTGATTCAATCACCGATTTTAAATATTGTCAGAGAAACTCGAGTTATAGTCATGAATTAGTTGCAAGAAACCAGTCTACGTGTTTCCACACAATTGGGATCGAATACTACTTTGTTGGATCACCAAGACAGCTTATACAGCCTCAATTTCTACAACTTGTAAACAGTATATCTGGTTGGCATTTGTACTGCCCACAGTTTGATTGTTACCACATCTGGAAAGAATAACATCTTGGACCCAGTTAAAGTATAATGCCCAAACCAAATGTTTTTCCATATCATCAAGCATGCAAACAAGAATTTCAACTTCTTTGCGGATATCAGCAATGATGGATTTCCAGTAAAGTAGTGTCGTATGGGTTTGGCCAAACTCCATGTTATGTAGAGTGTGCGTGAGAGTGTCTGGAATGGATGGAGTGAGCATGTGTGGAATATGTGCGTCTGATATCGTGGCATTGAATTGGAGTTGAAGAAACTCTCTCATTCTAGTTTTCAATTTAATGACAGATTTGATGACAAGTTTGATAATAAGTTACTACTGGCACGATCCAATGAAACAACTCATCAGTAGTACGCATCTTTCAAAAGTAGCCTCAAAACTCACCTTGGAGATACAGTGCCAAGCTGTTTGGATTTAAGCTCGGTCGACCAATCAATTTGTCCAAAATGCCACGGAGAGTTTAATATGGATGAATCTGATTCCAAACCTTCATGTCGGGAACTTATTCGATTGTCTGTTCCATTGTATGTCCATGTTAATAGATTCAAAAACAGCGACAGAATTGCAACAATCACCACAACCAATGCAACAGTTGGATTCACAGCCAAGTTGCAGCCAGATCCATTTGGACCCAAACTGCTGTCAGGATTCGAGTGACCACTTGTTTGATTTTCACCAACTGAAGAATCGGCACCATCAAATTCCAGTGCAATGGCAGAATTGCCTGTGCGTTTTGCATTCTCTTTTCGAATCTCATCCTTTAAAACCAATACAATATCTGTACATGTTTCCTGCAGTCCTTTCATGGCATTGCTCTTGATCACACTTTTCATGATTGTCCCCTTTGTGAAATTCACCGCGATGGTTATAATCAATCTACATGTATCTTTAGTCACCCACGATATGCAATATCTAATCACTGGGTTGAAGCAGTCACTGAATGGGACTTGAGGAGCATGTGTTTTCAGTTCGACACAGTATGTTCTAATATTTGGTGATTAGAAAGCAAATCATACAATCTTGTTTTATGGAATAACAAATAGACATGTGCTTACATCCAGTCGGTCTGTTTGATGATTTTACTGGTTTCCTTTACATCAACTTCTTTGAATTTCAATAGCGGGTTGTTCATTGCCAAGACATATGATACTTCTCGTGTGGGTGTTGGTCCATGTTGCCACACCCCCTCTTTTCGATCTGTATACAACAGGCATTAGTAAACATGGATATGCATAGCCAAAGTATAAAAGCCGCGATATGGTTGATTGGAACGTACTAGATGCACCACGCCTGATATCAAGTGCCTGCCATATTGGCACTGATTTTTCTTTAAAAAGAAGGTCAAACAGTTTTTTTGATGGAATAGGAAGCACCACGTCAACTTCCTTTTTTTCCAGATGGTCAGTACATCCGCAAGGCACTTCAGTGAGTGGGGCACTAACACACTCTGGAAGAGCATATTCCAATCTGGTAGACAAGCGACATGATTAGAATTTTAAACAGTATCCATCACATATTCAGTATTCATACTCACAAACTAGAGTCAACATCAGGCTCAGTCCCTTTGAAATCCGTTGCGGAACTTCCTTGGCTAGCTTCCAGTATACCTTTTTTGTTTGTATCTCTCGATAGCTCCTTTTCGCGATCTGATTGGCCACGAAGGTTAGACATGATTTGAATGTACAGGTTTTGTGCCGAGATTGGTGTGCAAGACTTTGTGTTGTTCCAAGCCGCCAAAATATTATTGAATGCTCGATCGCACTTGCCATATGTTTTCAAATTAAACTAACAATTCAAGCATTAGTGTCACCTGAAAATCAGCAATTGACAACCCCACTTACTGTTCCATCAGTGGTAGCTAGATGAATTGAGCCTTGAAGGGGTCCTTGTTTTTTACTGACTGCAGTCACATCTTTGAGCCGAATCACAAACTAAACCCACAGACAGTATTCCATCAGCAAATATGTGTTCAAAACTTATCAAGCTTGCGCTACAACTCACCAAATTCACGAATCCAAAAATATTGGAATGAAAGCATAACCGTAATGGAGTGATGAATAAACGACCTTGAATCGCAATATCCTTTTGAAAAAATATCGATATGGCTACATTGGCCAATCAGTACCAAGTAAATAGCCACACATGTATCACTGGACATCAATAAATACAATCCATTACCATCTAGTAAATACTCGGTATTTGGAACAGACTTGAAATGATGGTGTAATTCTTGATTCTTTTTTGCCATCCATGGATCCGAATACTCAATCATGGAACTACAACCACCAACTATTAGTATCCGCCAAATCCAACCACGATCAATATCGGTTATATCAAAAATAATGGTTTGTCATACTCTGACTTGGATGCAGACCCATCTTGCATTGAAATAAGCTCAGTATCAGCACACTGCGGAAAAGACCCATCAGTCTCCAACTCGGAAGCCTCGATTTCAAAACTTTCGTCTTCAGATGACGCAGTTGCAGTGGTTTGATTAATTGTTATGCTTTCGCGAGGTTTTTGTGTTTTGAGCTGATGGAGTGTTTCGCCTCCATCACTCTCATCTTCACTACTGGGCTCAAACGGTTCTATGTTGGTGACGTCTATCGGGATAGACGCAGCTCCATTTGCCAATGCAACTGATTTTGCACTGTTGATTGCTGTTATCCATTGGTTCATATCTTGCTCGGTCTCAGCTTGCAAAACAAATGTGGATCTAGGTAGTCAGTTCAGGCTGGGTTGGTTAATATATTAAATAACGATACAATAATATACAAATGCATACTTTGAAGAGGTCTCCACTTCAAAACAGAAACGACGATCTTCCAACTTGGAAACTCGAACATTGCACAGTGCAACACTCAAGGCAGTGGTTGCCATTAGTTTCCCTTTGTGTTTTCCACTTGTGGCGACAATACTGTATGATATCATGGCATCCTTGAGTGAAAAATACCGTCGGGTCCATACTGATCCACCCGAATTAGATTTTCTAAACAAATATCCCTCGCGCTCCACTACGACTAGAGGGCGGGATTTTGACAGAGATTGCCGATTTGGTAGTTTGGAATGGTCAGTGGATTCTTTTAGACGTGGTTTTGCCGACTCGATTGCAAACTATCGCGGTTGAAACTGGCTGTTAGATTGATGCACAAGCATATGGATCTGATGTTGGACCATGTGTGGCTTACCTCTTCAAACTCATTCTTGACGGTTTCGAGTCGTTTGATGGTATCGCTACTCATTGCTCGTGCCTATTTAGCCGAGTCAGCCATCAGAATGACAGTTTAAATGCTAATCTAATACACTTACATTATCGAGTTTTTGGCGCAAATCTTGGGAAGCAACTTCAATTCCGTGGAATAAATCCCATCCTGCTTCAAAATAGTCTGTGTGGACTTTGATCAATGCCATCAAAATATCCGGAATATGTATATCCAGCTTATACTTTAGCATGATGATTTTTGATACGTAGCTGATGGATGCTTTTATAAAGGGTTTTCTGGCTTCGTACAAAATAAATGCATCCTAAATACATCCAGTCAATAGGCAAGTATTGGTGATGTGTATGCAACTGTATCCAAAAACTACCTCTAAAAGCGCACTTGACTCTTTTGATTTGGGCAATGCAGCATACTTGATGGTTGCAGCCTCGAATTTCTCGACACTTTTTTCATAATCCAGCCTTGCTTCCTGGATTGATCGATTGATCAGCTTTATAGTGTGATTTACAAACGCCATGCAAAATATACTGTCAAGCGTACCTTGATATTTTTGATATCCTTGAACAATACATTTTGAATGGTGTTGATTACACCCTCATGCATTCCCTCGAGCTGCGTGTTTAGTTGTAATGATTAGCTTCATGCTTGTGTACATTCAACCCCATTTATCCAACTAAGCACTTGAAAAAGAATATACTGACTGCGTGCCATTTTAAGACGTAGATGGTGGATATTGATCATGGACTCGGACACAGTTCGAATATTTTCGGTATTTCCTAGATACACGCCATTTGAGTTTCAGGCAATAGTAAACAGACCAGTAAATACATGAATCAAATTTTGAGAACCAAAATGATATGTATGCAACAATGCACCTAAAAGGCTTATGTATTTGTTGGACGACACTCGACGCGAAACAGCCAAGCCAATGTCGTTGGTTTCTAATGTCAGTCAAATATACAGCATCAACCATTCAGTAGCCATTTTTGTCAATAAACCGCATTCAATAGGTCATCATTATATACCAATGATAAAGACATACTTGTGAGAGATTCAGTGTAGATACGGCAGATTTTGGAGATATTAACCAACCATTTTTCCAGTTCATCGAGTTCATCAGCAAACAGACGAACAGAAGATCTAAAAAGCGGCGAGTCTTTAAGAGCGTGTTCAAATGAAATGTTCAGCGCTATTCCAGGTGCGTGAGTGACAGACTTGAGCGATGTTTCCAGCATGATGTGCGAATAGTGAAACCTACAGAATGCAACGTCGAAACCAAATTCCACAAAAACGACCATGAATTTACACGTGACCACAGTGGTGACAAACCGAATATCCGTTTGCTGCCAACAGCCAAAAAAGTATCCAAAAGTGCAAACATCAACAGGATTGGAAAGCCATTACCGGAATAACTGAGAGTTACTGATACAAGGGGAAGCAATAAAATACAAATATACACACACAATTATTGTTTGCCTGTCATGCTACAGAGGAAATCAACAAAAACTGCTGCGACTACCAACCATCAATCACCTCAATGCGAATCTACTCGCACGACAGCAAAACTGCAATTACCTGTTGCTTGCAGTTACACTGAGCCTGTATGGGATCTATTTGCATACATATCTGCCGAAACGTACTCTTTTCTGCTCTGTATTGTTGCTGATTTTCAACGACATTCTACTGACTCTGCCAGCGATTGCATCCACGATGACAAGATTGCTGCAATGCTGCGAGATATCGCCCGTATGTTACCCATCCAAACAGTTTTTTGCAAGATTTTAGAATCTTGGGCTGATTCTTGTGATTTTGTTGAAACTCCCGATTGCTCCCAACGGTCCAAAAGCTGCACGATTGCAGCAGAATGCAAGGATGCAGCCAACAAATCTTGGAAAAAGGGAATTCGCCAAAATGCACTTATTGGATGGTCCCAGGTAATTGTGTACAGCCATCCATTTAAAATCTAGTGGATAAACACCAATATATTGAATGCCTTGAATGTCAAGCTAATGATCATGCTGTAGGGACTTCGATTTGCTGGCACTCATCGTCATGATTGCTCTAAACCGGAGATAGCAGGGATCTTGTATGCCAACAGATCGCTTGTTTTTTTTAGTGCCAAACTCTACGAGCACGCCTATCTGGATATCCGTCGTGCACTCATGTGCGGCTACCCAACTGATTCTATGCACAAGCTGCTTCGACGTAAAGCACTTTGTATCAAGCATTTAGGCACACAGTCTGGTTATGAAGATGCAGAATTGGTTTTATACGAAGCATTGGATGCTAGCAGACGAGTTAAAAATATCGAGTTTCAGCAGACAATTATAAAAGATTTGCAGAATTTGGCACTACAAAGCGCATCTAAAAACGACTCGACAACAGCTGAAGTTTCCAGCAACTTTGTTTTGCTGCCATGCTCAACTGAAACCACTGCTATTAGCCAAACTCCGTCGACGGGAAAGCCTACAACGAAACAGGACTTTGACCCAACAACTCAGGACAAACAATCAAACGGAAACATGCGTTCAGCTGATGCTTGTTTGCTCCACAAAAACGAAACTGGAGAACTTGAAAGCTTAATGGACACGGCTACCAAAGAGATTTTGCCAAGCATTAAACCACCTGAAATTAAACCCTTTGTTCATCCAAAAATTGAAGTTGCCTATTTGAATGGTGATCGTAGTGTGATTGCATCGCAGGATATCAAAGCAGGTGAGGTTCTGCTGGTTGAAGCACCCATTGCCTGGGTTGTGTCTCGTACTTGTCGTGGAGAATACTGTGCATTTTGTTTTCGTCGTGCAAGTGTTCATGGAATATAGTATGTTTGATATGCCATTGGAATGATGGTTGATCAAAAACCAGTATGCTGAATCTCAAAATCTGATGATGAATGTATTTGATTCGAGGGTTGATAGTTGTCCCGATTGTGCATTTGATGAGCCATATTGTTCTGAGATGTGTCGTTCCAAGATGCAGTCACTTCATGCTAAAGAATGTGGTAATCGCAGCGTCCAACAAATGGACGATCACACTTTGCTTGCACTTCGACTTTCCCGCATTGTCTGCGAGTCCAGATCAACTCCGAACCTCTGCACCATGAATTTTTGGCCCACGATTCAACAACGCATCACGACAAAAACCAAAGCGCCTGGATTTACTCAGTCTGGTGTGTATATGGATGACATTGAAGCGTTGAAGTATCTGGCATCGAATATCACAAAAATTGACAAGGTGGATGTGCTAATGGCCT